TTGACTTTTGCATCTCACAGCACAAAGTCCGAGCTTGCCTGCCGACTCGTTCGACTCAATTGCGGAGAAGTCTCTGAACATGAAATCGTGGTCGGCGTCGCCTGCACGACTTCCGCGCCATGGCCCCAAGTTGCATCGCAGCCATCCCCAAAAGAGAAGCACGATAGCGTCACTGCTTGGTTGACGTTGGAAGGGGAGCAACAAAAATGGCAGCTAAGTGGGGATTTCCCACTAAACACCAATAAGCAAAAACGTAAAATGTTTCCCAACAACAAACATGATCCCACGCAACCCGATGGGTTGGTTTCTGTATGACTTTTGTCACGCCCCAGGCCCGCCTTGCTCTTGTCACGCCGGGCCGGCGCCTGCACCAAACCGGACATTCTAGTTCCATAGCCGGGGGTCACTTGTCCAAGCGCAGCTTTTGCGCATGTCGGAACAAAGGCCCAGCCAAGCCTTCAGGGCATGCAAAGTCTTTAAAACAACGCCCTGTTGCGACTGGAAATGGCCGGGCCCGTATGCCCCGCGCCTCATACTCGTCAACATCTGTGTCCTCTCGCGGTGCCGTGCACGATGGACGACCATGCACTCCCAAGATCTTTCAAGGGACACGGGCCTCTGTCTGTGACAAACTAGGATGCCACTTTGTCCTCTAAAGTAAGTTTGTTGGATTCGCCGGCAGGTTGAAAGGCTATGAGCTTGTCAGTCACCCAAACTTCTGGAATCCACGTCTTCGTGGTTTGGCCTGCTGGTATTTCCTCACATGCGCCGCTGGTTTATTGGTGAATGAACCATTGGTCATTGAAAAGGGGCCCTCCTGCATGAATAGTTAATCGGTGGGAGGGTAGTCAATGATGGAAGCTTACACCAAGTGATTTCATGAGGATCCTGAATAATTAGTCCATGTGGCGTTCCATGGAGAAGAGTGTTGGTCCACATTGTAACACCCATACTGGCCAGCAACCCATGGTACTTGGACTCTTGGTTGCTCATGGGTGCTCCCTACAATCAGAAAGAATTGGTGAACTCACATCAAGCCCCATCCCCAATCAATGGACATAAGCTAACTTACCAAAGGCCATGAAGTGAGGCTTTTTGCTCCGGCAATCTCCCCCTCCGCCTCCAAAACAAAAACAACAAAGCTGTCGTTTAGACCAAGGGCAACACGAAAAGCCTTGCCAAGTCGCAGAGTACAGATTGAAGGGCTGCTGCGCCTGCGGCCCGAGAAATTCGCATGGCAAGCCGATTTCCAGTATTCCAAGGCAAAGCATGTACTATGAAAGGGTCCATGGGGGCTGGGGGGGAGGGAGGGGGGGGGGGGAACAAGCCCCAAATAAGGCCGTGTGGGCTTAATAAGGGCTTACTTGGGCTCCCTCCCCCCCCCAGCCCCCATGAAGGTGTTGCTTGGTATTTGGGAGAAACCAAGCAGGATCATATTCGCGCATACGGGCTGAACATGACACCACGCCAATCACCTTCTGTGCTTACTTTAGGGGCATTGACATCATGTGTGGCTTCTTGTAGCTCCACTGCGCTTGTTCCTCAAGGATCCCATCAGAAAGGGCGGGTAGTGGAATCGGGTGGACTTCGCATATTGGGCGGGTAGCATGCACTATTTGGGAATCAACCAGTCTGGATGCACGCGCCATGTGGAGAAGCATCATGAAGCATCCACATCGGAAGGCGATGCGTTCCGGCAGATTCGTAACAACTGACCATCCAAATGCCGCAATATCTGCGCCACAGGGGGCCTTCATGATGGGTACGGGTGCAGATGGTGCAAGCCTCTTGCGATGGCCCAAAGATTCGGCCACACACGCCAGCGTGAAGCGTGGATCCCAACCTTTTTCGCGGTTCGGGCATCCGGGTAAGCGCTGAGAAGGCGGCAGGCGACATGACTGCAGTTCTAGTGGGTTCCGCCGGCAGTGGAAGGCCTGTGGCTGGCCATGAGGCTTCCAATTGATCGCATCCGCTCCCGGAAGCCTCGTTCGGACTCTTGGCGACCAAGTGGATTCTTGTCTGGAGCGCTTGCGGGGTCGCCCAAGCCACCCAAACCACCAATCCAAGCTGCCAACCCGGGCTAAGCTGACCAATGGCAGCCGTCCAACGCCAGCTTCCAGACATCGCGGGGATCTCCGGCTGGTTCTAAATGATGGAGTATCCCAGGAAAACCTTGCTTCAGGTTGATTTAACACACCTTGTGCTTGGCCAAATTGTGGTAGGGCACTTTGCCAAGCTCAGCCCTGCTGAGGGTCACACACACACATGTTTATATATATATATATATATCCACACACTGGCTATGTACACATACATAAGTGTTGCATCTATATGCCTATGTTGAGAAACATTTATATATATATAATATTATATGTATTTCCCCAGGCCCTGTGGAAGTTTGTAAACCATGACTGGGGCAAGTTGAAGTGCTGGAGAAATACATAAATAAATCAATCAATAAATAAATAAACATATATATATATATACATCACCCCCAAGAGGGCCCGGGGAAATAGACGATTCGGTGTGTCTTCTTCGCTTGTGGGGCTCGTTTTGAGGCTTCCCCGTTAGACGGAGTCTGCGCCTGGCGCTTGCGGGCCGCGGGCTTGGCGGCGCCCTAGCGGCACAAAACCCGTTGGGGGGGGGGACCAAAAAGGAAGGTTCGTCATCCAAAACGGGGGGGTTCAACACAAAAACGACGGGGGGGGGGTGAACACTAAAAAACGGGGGCTCACCAAGGCTGAACACTGGGTTTAGCAAACAAGAAGGGGCGCGGGGGGGGGGGGGGGGTACCAAGGTTCATCACGAAAAAGTGGGCTTAGCAAAACAAAAAGGGGGGCGACACCAAAAAACGATAGCTCACCAAGGTTCAACAGAAGGCGTCAACATTAAAAGAGAAATTCAACAGAAAAAGGCTACACCAACCAAAAATACAGAAGGGGGCCACTCAACATTTGTCTGCTGCCCTCTCCCAACAGTAAGGTTGTGTGATAGTAGGGAGTAGTCAGTTGTCAACAGGGTAACATTTCAAGAGCGGCCAAGGTTGCCTGAAGGCTGAATGCATACCCAAATGGCCATGGTTCACAACCAATGGTACTATTTTGGGATACATTCTAGCCTCAAGAAGGACGAACTTGTCTCCCAGAAAACCTGACTGAAAAGCTTCATCTGCAAACTGTAAAATGTGTTCTTACTCTAATTAAGCTGGTATTTCACAGTTCTAGAAGCCCCCGCCCCACAGCTGGATTCAAATGGCAATCAAACAGAAAAAAGTGCCCTGCTCAGCCAAGAAATTTGCCCTATAAAAACAAGAAAGACACTGCCATTTCAGCACGAAGCAGAAGTGCTTATGTTCCTTGCTTTGCCTGAGGCCGTCAGCCCAACCAATTCTGCAAGTCACTTTAGTTGGCCACCGCAGGCTCAAAACGCACACCTCCAATTGGCTTCGGTCGATGCCTTCAGTGTTAGCCTTAAGTGGATGTTCACCCCCGCCGGCCCCAAGACTTGCTTTGAGAGAGAAAATAAAAACGACAGTCAAGCTTCTCTGTCAGCTCTCGTGTGACTGCTCAGGCGCTCCGCCCTAGCCGCCGAGGCGGGCGCGATTTATCGCATGAAAATAAGGCCCGCCAAATAACACTACATTCGGTAGGAGAATCGCCAAATGGTGACAGGGTTGTCCACCAAGTAATCTGACTGGCAAACCTACCTAATTACGCAGGGCTTCCCTGTAGTTTCCCTTTAAAGTAGCCCAAAGTTGGACAGCAGACTTACAGTGTGTCTAGGGCAGCACCTGAGGGCTCCCGTTCCTTGCTACCCTTACAAAAGAGACACGCCATGCAAATCACTTCGCGGAACTCCGCCGGCCTTGCGGGCGCCCATCGGACTCAGCCTCACTTTGGCTCGCAGAGGTCCACAGTTTCGACCCGGAGGCACCCAGCCGAAACCCTGAACCCAAACCCCCCGCCACTAGAACCTGACGCCCAAACCCTCAGCCCACAAGGTGCTGCCTTTCTGAGGGCTGCCAGGGCTGAGCTACACGCTTGGACCATCCCTTCAGGCCAAGAGGTGCAAACCCGTAAGGTGGGATGGTTGATATGGGTGATTGCATTTTCGGGATCCACACTACTTCAGTGACCTTCGAGGATTCCAGATAGCCATGCATTCGCGGGAGCTGCGTTGCGGCGCATCCTGGTTGACTCAGAGACTTAGCTTAAACCCCGCCCGCCCCTGCGTTTGGATGCCGAAGGGCTGCCAGAGCGTTGTCCGCAGCACACCCTTGAGCCAAAACTGCAGGGCAAACACTTGCAGCATTCAAGGCAGATTGTTGGACCAGCAAGGCAGGGGGCATGGAGGAGAATGGGTGTCACTGTTGTGGGCCTGGCTCATGCCTCCCTTTGCAAGAACCCGTGCACTTCCCTAGTTGGCAGATCGATGACCATTCCTCATTTCAAGAGATGGCCAAACACCATGGCACATGTGAGAACATTGTCTGGCCCTCCCACAAATCGAACATTGATGCCATCCGCTTCTTGTTCCAAACCATGCTCCCAAGTCCCCATTTTTTCCCCGACCAGCGTCTTGCATGCTGGCCTGCTATGCGGTACCAAGCAAGCAAGTGCGCAAGGCTCAACGGCAAAAGCTGCAAAAGAGTAGCCACTACTATAAATGCACAAAAAACTAAAACATGCACACAGACAGAGCCAACTACTTAACAAGCCCATGTTCGGCAATATGCCTTCGTTCCAAGGCCTTTCGTTGCCACAGCTCTGAGGTGCGACCGCAGAAAAGGAAGGCCCGTGGTTGAAGGCCCGACCAAGAACTCACAGAGGGTCGCCAAACTGAACCGCCACTTGTCCGGTGGCTCTCAGGCTTTGAGCGCTGGTTGATGGCCAAGAGCCTGTCGAAATTTGTGATGAGGTGAGGTCAAGCAAAGAACCCGCCTGATGTTTGTTGAGAGACCCGAAGCCAGCGCCCTAGCCAACTCCTCCCAGCCCATTTGCCTGCATCTTGGAGACGTTGGCAGCCTAGCAGGCTGAGACTTCGGGGCTTTGTCCCAGTCAGCTTCGCCAGTCTTTGCACTGCAACGAGAAAGGTGTCTTTTTTTCAGGTGGCGCACCAGGAGCCATTAACCATAGTGAGGAACAAAAACCGAGGAGCCACCTGAAACGGCTGCTGTGTGCTTTGCTGCGTTGGGCTTGGCAAAGTCACCAGGTGACAGATTTGACAGCACTGGCAAGTCAGCCCAGACGACCAAGATTGACATACCCCTTTCAGCTCAAGGGGGAGTGGCATAACCCTTCTCTCTGCATGTAGCCACCCTTACGAAGAAATCAACATATGCAAACAGCCTAAATTGCAAAAGGAAAAACGGGTCCGCAACCCAAAGTCACTTAATGGAAAACAGCCTTCCTCCAACTGACAGCATTCCTTTGGACAAGGAGCTTTTTCTTGATATGTCTGCATCTAATTGTCGCTACACATCGAAGATAAATATTTTTTGCATACTGGCTAGTGGGTAAGTACTCAGATCGTTATGTCCTCCACAGTTGAAGACTCATAAAGCCACAGGTTGTCACTAGGCACAATCCCCTTCCGGGAAAAATCCGGAGATGATTAAGCCAAATTAGGGAATGGCGCCAGCTGTACCAGTTCTCACCGGAAGCCGAGTAGCAAGCAACCTCCGTCGACGGATGCAGCTCCCCGCCTCCACAAAGGTGCCTTGCTGGCTCCCCCGAGCCTCAAACCTCGGGGCAAATCCAACTGTGAGGACTCCAGTGGTTTCGGCCCAGGAAGCCCATGGCTTGGGCCCAGGAAGCCCATGGCTTGGGCCCAGGAAGCCCATGGCTTGGGCCCAGGAAGCCCATGGCTTGGGCCCAGGAAGCCCATGGCTTGGGACCAGGATGGTTTTTTGTTTTGTTTCCGCAAAGACGTTGGAAAGGGAGCCAACAATTGTTTAAAGCCTAGCAGTTAAGTGGGGGTTTCAACCACTAAACCGCAATAAGCAAACATGCAAAATGTGTCCCAACAACAACCATGCCATACGAGGGGCAAAATATGGCAAAATAATTGCCAACATTGTTCCCATGATATCGTACCACGAGAAACGGAAAGGAAGTGGACTACCCTGTGCCATGTGATACCGATCAACCTGCAAGAACCCTAGGGCCCCATCAGAAACCAATATCCTAGTAACTTTAGTAACGTTGTTTGCTGCTCTAATGCATGTTATACCCCAACCTGGTTCTTCAGGTTGTTTTGGACGTATGGGGATTATACATTACTGGGGTAGAAACTGTCTTGCCAAGTTGCACTGATGGAGTCTAATTGTCTGAAGCCCATACGTTGAAGAAAATCACCGTCAATGAAGCTAACAATTCCCACTGAAAAAACTAGCAGCAAAGTAGTTCCCCCTGTCCGCCCTCGTGCAACACCGCGGGTGGAATTGGAACGACACCCATTCTCGGCGTTATATTAATTGCCAATGCAGGGCTGCAGAATATGGACCATGATCCGCTGGCAAAAGACATTCCGTTGGGACCGCAGGCATGGTCCCAGCAACACGCCTTACAAGCTTTTCCAAGTGTTTGCCTGACTACGTCCAATGTTCAGCCAAAAGCAAGGCAGAAATTTCCCCCGTCTATCCACCCGCTTTTCAAAGCAAGAAAGCCATGGAAAAAGCCATCGCCGGTCTCTTCAAGTGGGCGGGCGCATAGACAACACCCCCGCCCGCACCTTATCTACCCGCGATTCAACATGAAAGCGCACCACTGAACCCACAGTCTTGGCGGCTGATTTGGCGGCCAGTTCTACAAATGCTCCCTGGGCACCTGTAAAAGACAATCAAGTGTCCAAACGCGTCTTAAGCAAAAATGATACGCAGCCCTGATGTGTCCTCCTACGGCCGGACGAATTCAGCTTTGGTGTCGCTCCAAGGACCCGGCCACCACAGGTCACAGGTGCCTGGCCGCCGGCTCTGGCTGAAGCTGCCAAAAGGAAGGTGCAGCTTCATGTGTCTCCATTTGCATAAGCCCCCTGGAAACAAATATGTTGGTTGGTTGCTTGTTTGTTTGATGTTGTTTTGTTTGTTTTTTTGTTTGTTTGTTTTTTTTTGTTTGTTTGTTTGTTTGTTTGTTTGTTTGTTTGTTTGTCTGTCTGTCTGTCTGTCTGTTTGTTTGTTTGTTTGTTTTTTTTGTTTTTTTTTTGTTTGTTTGTTTGTTTGTTTGTTTGTTTGTTTGTCTGTCTGTCTGTCTGTCTGTCTGTCTGTCTGTCTCTGTCTGTCTGTCTGTCTGTCTGTCTGTCTGTCTGTCTGTCTGTCTGTCTGTCTGTCTGTCTGTCTGTCTGTCTGTTTGTTTGTTTGTTTGTTTGTTTGTTTGTTTGTTTGTTTGTGTGTTTGTGTGTTTGTTTGTTTGTTTGTTTGTTTGTTTGTTTGCTTGCTTGCTTGCTTGTTTGCTTGTTTGCTTGCTTGTTTGTGTGTGTTTTTGTTTTCTTGAAGCAGTAGTGATAGATTCCCTTTAAAACCAAAGCAGGAAAATGCAACGCATCCTTCCCTGGAGGAACAAAAACAGTGGTGCTAGATTCCCTTTGAACTCAAAACGGGAAGATGACAAATACCCTTAAGCAAATGCAAGTGTGTAAGCCCAATCTTCCGTCCAACCCTGCAGCTTCCCGGAATTCAGATGGTCGCAGAGGCCCTGGGTTTGGGAAAGAGCGCGGCTCAGGGGACCCGCATTTTGCCAGGCAAAATGCGAAGAGAGCCGCAGTGAAAGGACGCGCCGAGAAATTTGCCAACCAACTGTCACCCAAAGTCAACCGCCCCTTACGCCAGCTCCAAATAGAGCTCATGCAGTCACATAAGCATGCCGCTTCAAAGACTTTCAGTTGGTGTGCTCTCCAAACATATCCTCAAGGCAGGTGGAGTTCCCTGAATGTTGCAAGTAAACCAAACACAAGCCCACCGGCGAATGACACGTTTCTCTTGAGAAGTGCCTTGGTCCCCAATTCAATTTGCATCCTGCCAGCGCCGTGACCCTTACACCCAGCGGCCAACAAACAGGGCGCCAACCGAATTGTCATCCCTCGATCAACATCCTGGCGACTTGACTTTCCCAAGTCAAAAGTTGAGTTGATCGACTTACTGGTGGGTTCCAATGAAACTGCCGAGAACAGCCAATTGAAAGATCCACAACCCAAAATGCCTGGACTCCTCCCGGAACCCGCCTCCCTGGCCGCCCAGAACCCACCCACTTGCCTGGTGATCATCAGTTTTTGGTGGGGTACCCACTAAACAGCAAGGGAAATAAGGCTGAACTGGCTGAGCTTGGGCCAGGATTGGCTGGCTTCCCTCGAAATCGGAACCCGGCCACGTGGCCTCCATCCTTTGCAATGACCTGGCGGAGGCTTTGGAAGGAAAACCGGTTGCCCAAAGGACCCTTCCTCTCGTTTTGCGTGAAAACCAACGACTCAGCTGGTAGGTTTGTTGAGACACCCTGCTGAAAGAGATCACGCTTGGCGGGAAACCCATACTTCTTTCGAGTGTGACTTGCGGCGAGGAGTCAGCTGCAACCAGGGTGGCCCCCACTGAGCGGAACAAATCGCGGGCTGACACTGGCGCAAGAACTGGTCCAGAACCAAATCGGCAAGATGTCAAAAGCATGAATGAAAGCATGGCACCACAATGGGGAATTGACGTCTGTCTAAGTTGCTACTGGTTTTCTGGGTACTTCCAGAACACTACCCCCAAACCACCCCCGAAAGAACATAAAGTGTGTTTGTTGAGGCAGGGACAAACCTGCTAGACTCTGTACGGCGCCCTGGTTTGTGATGCCCGCGCTGCATCCGCGCAGGCAAAGCATCAGAATTTGCCAATTCAATTGAAGCGAACACATCCGCCCGAGAAGGAATCCTTCATGGCTAAGCTGGTCCACCCCCCAGCTGGGTGAAAGTTGAACTCCCCCCCACCCCCACCTCTTTTCCCAGCTGGCCACCTCAGACACCAGAAGCCTTGTTGCTAATCCTTCCCTCCCAAAAGGAAAATGGAACCAAACAGTTGCATTCCAAATGCCACCTGTCTCTCAATTCCAACTTCAGGGGCTGGGATCCGATGAAGGCCCCTCCCGCCTCTGCGGTGAGAGATGGCAGGCCCTCGCGCGCATAGGTGACCAGACTGCGGGCATGGAGGCCGGGAGGCGGCGAAAAGTCGGGAGAACGGCAGGGTCCGTAAGTGATGTCAGTGGAACACGGGTATGCGGCCCCCATCACTGGCGGGGTTGTTCCTCTTGGTTTCCCTTTACGCACCCATATTCACGCGCCAGTTTCCTGAGTACCCAGGCAAGGCTCTTACAGAGGCTGATGGAGCAGGAATGGAAGGTGAAGTCCGTGCATCTCGGCGTGTCTTGCCATGGTGAGTTGGTGACCCTGCAGGTCCTTTGAACCCCCGGCGTCGGTCATGGTATTCGTTGATCAAGCGTTCGTGTGGAAAGCTGGTTGGAAACCAGCCGCCAAAGGAACGTGGTCATGGATTCATACTCATGTAAACAGCATTTGATAGATTGGAGGAGCTTCTCGTCCAACTCAAACTCCGTCAATAAAGACTCTTGGATAATGGTTCCATCAACCCAGCCTAATTGCCCAGCTGTATCATTCTTTTTGGCAAGTGGTCATTCAGGAAAAAGGGCATCTTTGCGTAAACTGAACCAAAAACTGACCCAAACTTGAATTTGCGAGTTTTCCTCCCCACGGGCTCCAAGCGCAACTGGCCTCTTCCCCTTCAGAAATTCCCGCCGCTCCCCGCGAAACCGATCCGCCTGCCCACCGCAATCTGCTGCCAGGTGCCCTCCACCCTCGCGAGGTCCGCGGCGCGGGCCTCCGCCGACGTCTGTGCAGACGGGGGATTCCAGGGACCCGGGGGAAAAATGGCTTGCTGTGTGGCAACTGCGGGCTTTCCGTTTGCCAAATTTGAACATCAGGGAGGGAAGAAACCATCCAGAAATATCCAGAAAGATGTTGGGCGAACTTCCGGTGGATATTCATGGCTGTCCCAAGAGCTCCTTACAACCAAGGGAGAACTCCCACATTGGTCAGTGTTCCATGTCTGTCCCCCGACGGCTCGCTAGACTTTCCGAAGTGTTTTGCTACATGCTACCTTTTCAACATCAAGGGGGCAGGAACCGGGAACTCCGGCATTGACATTGGCAAGAACAAGCCCAGACGGAAATAGGACGCGCTGTCTTTTTCTCGGCCGGTTCCCAAAGCCAAAGTTCATAGAGTGAGGGGCCCAGAAAGCGGGCCTCACCATTCAGCTTCCCAAAAAGGCCAAGCGGGACCCGGCCTCCTCGAGTCCTCGGAGCAAATTGGCACCGGAACTGAGGCCAGGGGTGATTTATTTCCTTCGCATGGCACCTCAATAACTTCAACCTTTTACATCGCCATGAAACGGCTCTGCGCTATTGCGCCAAATGGGAAGTCGGGTGAGTTGCAATACTGTGAACCAGAAATGGACTGGCTTTTCCCTTTGCAATCCCATTGCGAGGTCACAGTCAAGCAGAAGCTTTGTCCGCTTCTGTCTTGGCTTCGGGTGAGGAAGCCCCCCCCCCCCCCCCGGGTTTGCCAGAATGTTTCACAGGTGAGGTTTCGAGGGGAAATCATCAGCACCCAACGCAGTGAAGCACCAGTCGGATTGGAGGGACACTGCAGCAGCGCAACTGAGACACCAACAGGGCCATAAGCCAGCTAAGAATATGAAGCAGCATGCAGCATGCCATTGTAATGGGACCCTCTCAGTCGATGCAACTTGGCATTGCGAATTGGAAGTCCAATCCGACGGAGGGAAAAGAAGGTCAAACTTCAAGAAGGCGAGTATTGCTCCGGTGCAAGCCTCCCATTCTGAGGTCATGTAAGCCTCCCATGCCTCCCATGCGTGCCGAGGAGTCAACCGAAACTGACCCGAGTCGCGAGGTCCCTCGCCGAGTAGCCAATCATGATTCGATCGATTTAGAAGCAAGGCATCGGGATTCCACTTTGTGAGTAGCCAAGGAAGACTTAAACACCGGACCCTGGGGGTTGATTTCAGATCTATGGGATTCTCAAGCAATGGGTGTGCCTTTTGTTGAGGGAACCCCTTTTTGTCTTGTTTCCTTGAGAAGCAGAAAGGAAGGCCACGGAACTTCGGGGTCCCAGTCCCCGAGAAAAAGACACGCCCACATTGGCTTCAAATCTTGGTCGAAACTCCACAAGGCCCAAAGCCTGGGCTTCTTTCTTTAACCCCCCCTTTGTGGGGTGTTAAAGCTGAAGAGTTCAAGGGGAAACCTTGGTTGACGTTGCAAGGGGAGCAACAAAAACATGTTTTAGCAGCCAAGTGGGGATTTCAACCACTAAAACACAAAAACCCAAAATGGGAAACATGCTTCCTAACGACAACCGAGAAACCGAAAGGACAAGACCCAAATGGACTGCTGGCCACGGACTCAGCTCCGCGCCCTTCACGGCCTCTGCTTCGAAGCCGCCGAGCCATTGGTTCAGCAGCGGCCTGGCGACTCGGGGCGCGGGGCGCGGGGACTCGGGGCCCCTCCGACGCAACCGGCTGGGGTCCAGGATCCCTCCCGTGCAGCGCCAGCCCCAAAGGGAACCGCCTTCCAAAAACGGGGGCAAAACAAAGGTCACGCATTTCAAGCCAGAAAAATATATATGAAAGGAGCCCCTGTTGAAACTCTGGCTTGGGGAAAGTTGGCGACCATGGCACGTGGGTCTTAGATGGGCTGAGCTTTTCTGGCGGTGAGCCCCACCGGTCCGATGGAGCACTGACTGATCAGCCCTCTCGAAGGGAAATTGAAAGGCCACCCAATGATGTTCACCACATCGGGCCAATGCTTGGATCATCCTAAAATCGGCTGCAAACCTGGAAGGCTCATCGAAGGGCAAGCCGACAGAATCTCTTGGCATTTGGCAAGCTAGTTGGGCAAGACACCTGCTCGCCTCCTCCAACATACCTCCAACGCTGCTGGCAAACAGTGCCTTTCCATTTGGCATGAAAAATTAAATAACTTAGATGCAATTCAAGCAGCAGCAACAAACATCTATGCTATGCTGGTAGCGTGCTGTGCAGGGTACTGGACACCAATTGTCTAGCTCTGAGGCATCAACATCCATCTTGTCGAGATTGGTGTGGTGTCCATTTTAGCACAAACAAATCACAAATCCGGGGTTCCCCCCCTATGCAAGCGAACGCAACACCTAGGCTATGACCGAAACACTTTCCCTAGGCTCTAGTCTCTTGGGCGCCTTGCTGGGAAGAAACCGGAACCCCAGCCGCTTCGCCCCACATTCGCCCGGGCTTTTCCACGATGCGTCACAGGCGAATGTTGCGCATCTTTGGCAACCCTGCCCTCGCCGGCCGCGGCCCTTGGCCAAACTTCGGCCGGCACAGTCCCCCGGACCCTTGGCGCGCCGGGCGCCGGGTCTCGGGTCTCGCGATCTCGCTCGTGATCGCCTGGAGGGTCTGCGTTCGGGCTCGGGCCTGCGCCTGGCATGCAAACGGGCTGCTGAACCTGAAGGCTTGCCAGGGTCATTCGAATGCCTCAACCTATCGCTGCTGACCAAGAATGCTTCCCAACACCTGGCAACATGTTGCCCGGCGACTCAATGAACAGAACCAAGACGGAAGCAAGCACCAAGGCATAGCAAGAACAGTGCAGAATGCGCGTCCATTTCCGCAGCACCCAGTTCCCCAATGCGATTGGAAGTTTCCAGCACCCAGCAGGATTGTCTTTCTTGACATGCTTGTGCCCAGGGCAAAAGAAAACAACTGACGCAGGGTTCGCTACGAGTTTTTGTAAAACATCACCCCAACAAACTCGGAAGAAAACACTTTAAATGATGTTTCACCTGCCCGAGCAACCAGAAAACCTGTGAGGAAGTCTGAGAAGCACCTTCGCAACAACAGCAAACACCAGCTAGCCAAGCTGAGTGCAGTGCAGCAACTCGCTTCAGCCCCTGCCAGCCTGCATCAGCTGCAAGATGCGTTCGTCAATCCTCCAGGCACGCCCGGTGCCTCACTTGACACCAGAGAAAGTGGAAACCATAGCTGATCACCACTCAGAAGCAACCAAAGTTAGCTCCCTTGCAATAAGCAAGGAACCTCCCTTGAACTAGAGAAGGGACCGCCCAAAGTCAGTTCTACAGGTCAGGCAAAACTAAAAAAAAACATCTGTGAGCATGAGTAGATTTGATTCTTCACATGTCCAAGTCTCGCAATCTTTGTGTGGCCATTCCTTCAAAACAAACACCATTTAAAACAATCAACAAAACCGTCCTCCCGAGACCCCGAGCAAAGCACAGCACAACATCTGCACCGAGCCGCGCTTGCGCGTACTCCGCGAAGACGCCCCCGCTCTGCAGCAGGGCCGCAGGTGTGCCTTCCTCCACCACTCGCCCCTCCTGGAGACCAACTGGAGGGCCGAAACGTGGGGATCTTCGGCCGCCGCACTTGTTTTTGGCTCGGCCAGGATGGGGCTGCAAGGTCCCCACACATTGGGGCAGTTGCCTCCCCCAAAATGGCCGGCGTTCGTGCGATGTCCGCTTGCGCAAACCGCCCCCTCCCTATATGCGATCCCTTTTCTCGGACGCCCAACAAGTTGGCCTCATGAAAACATCACCATCCTCAGTGGACGCATTGGTGAACATCAGTTTGGTCCGACTTATCTCACTACCACAGGCGCTGCCAGTGCAAAACAGGGGGTGCCAACCCAAAATATAGGTACCTCCTTTTGGGGTGCCTGCAGGAAAGTGTGACCACTTGACAAAACCACTCTCCCAAAATTGCTCCCTACCCCTTCCACAAAAGACATGGAATGAATGCAAGGATTTCTTTGATAAGCCACGCAAAAACTCAAACATGCATGCCTTGCCAAAAATTGCTGCGAGTTGTGATGGCTCCCTTGATGGCGATCCTCTGATGGTCGTCCAACCTCCCCACTTAATGGTTCATGACCAAAGCTACCATGGCACATGCCGAGAGCATCTTCAAGAGTTCAAATTACCTCACCAGGCAAAACAGAATATCCGCCCTTCCTTGCAAGCAAAGGGTTCCCTAGCTCAAATTGTTCGAGTCTTTCCTGAAAATGAAATCAGGGCTGGACTTCCAAACATCACACCCCCGCCCCGCCCCCCGCAACTCCATTCGCCAGAAGCCGGCAACGAACACCCCCCCCTCCTGCATGACCAGCAAGCGATCCGCACGCGCCAGGTTCGACAGGCGATGGGCCACACATATCATCGTCATCCCCTCCTCATCGCTTGCTGAGTGCTCAAGCTCGAGCACCGAGACCCCGGGTTCGCATATGACGTGGAGACCGACACCTAGAATTCGGCCAAGGTTGCAACGCACGGGCCCTGCAGTTACAATCAGGTACAAACACTCTTGAAAACAAGGACTTCGCTGAGCATGGACGACAGGGGGAGGCCTCACATGTTCTGATACGCCCAAGGGACCCGGAAACAACAAGCTTAACCTCGGGGGAGGTATGTCTAAAACTATAGCTAAACGATTCATGTCGATTCGCTTTGGACAACTCGGAGTTGTGGAGGAAACGGAAGGCTCCCCAAAAAGGTTCTGAAGGAACCTGTCGGAGGGGGGAGAGGGGGTGTAGACGGCTTTCCCAAACAAAAGGGGGCAATCAACCAGTCCTGGGTTTCAGTCTATCTGGGTCTCAAAATGGGAACCCTGGAGTGTCCTGATGTCTCTCCTTGACTAATTTGACTTCACAGCCCTGGAACTAGGAACGAACCCATTGCAAAACCCCTGGTCTGGTGGATGCGGGGCTCCTAGGGCGCCAAAAAGCTGGGAGCTTTGGGGGATATTAAAAAAACAAACCAAAAATGGGCGTTTCGCCCAAAAGAAAAAGTGGACCTAGAGAAACATGTGGGGGCTTTCCCCCCCAAAAGAAAAGAAAAGAACAGAACAACACATGGATCCTTTTTTTGGATGGCGCCAAAGTGGGGACTACAAGTCTGGCCCTTGGCTCCTTCCTCCGCAGTGCTTCCACCTCCTCTTGGAGCTTGGCCTCGCCGGATTTACAAAGGGCTTGTCCATGGAGCACAAGAAGGGGGTGGGTCAGGAGATGGCTTGAGCTAATATCCAGATTCCGGAGACATAATCAAAACCTGGTACAAAACTGAACCATGTAAAGAAATGACAAGGCGGCTGCAGACCATTTATGGCTGGGATTGCCCCTTACTACCCTCCAATTACCCGGACTTTGATTGTGCCTCAGCTGATTTTTCTTCAGCTGATGGCTTCTTGGGTTCGGATTCATAAGGGTGTTGCGATTTGGGCTAGGCTTCTCTCAGCAAACATGGGGCAATTTAAGGCATGCCAACTGAACTCATACCGATCTCACTTGACGCTGACCGACAAACCGGCCTGGGAGATCTCGTCCAGGGCAGAGGTGGCTTCGTCCAAGATGAGCAGCCGGGGCTTCTTCACCTCGACAAACGACTTTTCCGCGCTGCGTGCGCGCGTCTTTTTGTTGGGGGAGCCCTCACAAAATAGTGGATTTCCTGCCGGTTTTCCTCCAAGACCCAAAAAAAAGACACGGTAAGACACGCCCATATGCCTCCTTGGCGCTTCGAAGATGGATTGGGCTTCACTCGGCCCTGGGGCCCTGAGTGCGGGGATTTCGGCACTTGGCTTCCCGTGGAACAAAGGACCCGTTGACGGGTTCCAACAAACGGGCTGCAGCAGGTTCCAGCTTGTACCAAAGGATGCGTGTTGCATCCAAAAGGAACCCATTTGCTAGAACCCCAGTTGGGTCAGCTAACTGCAATCCAGGGGGCTTGCATTCGCAGGCCGGAAAAATGAAATCCGCAAGGCCCCTGAACCTTCGTGGGTGAACTCATTTTACCACCGATCGGCGAAGCCAAAAAAGCGGGGTGCAGGGGTGACCCAACGGCGACTACTTCAGTTCCTCACAAGCGAGCTGCTTGAAACCGTCTCCGGAGTCGGGAAAGCACCGGACAACCGCGGCCGGAAGGGAAGCATTCTAAGTGGGCGCTCGAAGCTGCGCATGTCCTGCGATCTGCTCAAGGTTGTCGTTATTTGTGAGCTTGGAATTGCCAAAGGAGCCAAGTATGCATCAAAGACACGGAGGCTCTGAAAAAGACCTGCCATTGCCGAAAAACAGGGCTTTCAGGAAAACCCAACTAAAAAAACAAGCAACCAAAACAAAGCAAGCCTCAATTTGTTGGGCTCTGCTACGGCCTCCCCCACCTCCCCCCCCCCTTTCCAGCCACCCATTTCTCAGCTCAGCGCCACGGCCCGCGCCAGCGCCAGGCGCTGGCGCTCGCCCCCGGAGAGGTCGGAGCCGCTGTCCCCCACGTCGGTGTGCCAGAGCTTGGGGAAGGCCGCGGGGTTGAAGAAGGTCTCCTGAAAAGACCCATGTGCATAAACTGGAAGGCCCCGGTGAAAAGATTGGGAGAAGACTGGGGCTCCTCCCCGCCGACATTTGGATCAGTCGCCCCGAGAGCCGAGATCGGCCGTCTGCCTGGGCCATTTTAGCAGTCCACCAAGTGGTCTCCTAGTCAAACATCAGACACGCCCCGGAAGTGGATATCAGCCGTCCGCTGGGCCGGCCATTTTAGCCGAAGTCTAGCAAGTGGTCTCCGAGCAGTCGAATGTCAATGGTCTGGTTTGCCATTTTGGCAGGGGGTCTGGATTTCCAACGTGTTGGTGGTCTCCAAATCCTCCACCGGCCGAACCTCTCCATGGAAACGATCGCCAATGTTGGATATAGAGGAAACCAAGTGGTCTCCTAGCAGCAGTTCAACCTAAAGGTTCCAGCCTAATGAGTTGATCAATTTGCTGGCTTACCATTCCACCAGGCGGCACCATTTCCAAACGATCGCCGATTTTGGAAAAACCTGGATTTTTCAACATTAAGCTGATCAATTCACTGGTGCTTTCCATTGAAACGATCGCCAATTGTGGAAATGGAGGAAACCCTGACTTAGTTGCCAAGTGGTCTCCTTCCAGCAGCCGAACCTGGATTTTCAACCAAATAAGTTGATCAATATACTGGTTTGCCGGGGGGTCCGTCCCCAAAATTGGCAGAACTGCAGGAACTCGGGGTCCTTCCTGGATGAGGATCCTTCAACACAAATTGGCACCAGGCAAGGGGACAAACCTGCCTTGTGAGGGCGAGCTATGATTCTTCAATCGGAAGCTCCCTCACTGTCAGCTTAGGACATTGGTGTCCCATGAAGCCTCCTCCTTCCACGGGCTTGCAAAAGCTCGGGCATGGTGGGAAACCGGCCTCTGGTGAAGGGAACTGAAAGGACACCAAACCAAATTTCTATTGGGGTCTTGATCATCCTGAGCCCTGTTCCACTTTGATGGCTGCGCCTGTCCATTGGGAACTACTTGGAAATAAACAAATAACAAAACACCAATTTAGGTGGGCATAAACGTGCGTCCCATCGACAAATCAGACCTGCTCTCTCTTTTGGCTGGTTGAAGGTCTCCTGCAACTCGATGCACCAAGTCTCCTTTTGTGGTCCCTGCCCCGGCAAATGCGCTAAGCTTTATATGCATACCCGTTAGGTACTTGGGCCTGTGTTGAATGACCATGGTGCTCAGAAAATATGTGTGTCTCGATGTTGGCCGTAGCCGGTGTGGGTCTATTTTAGAAGGACAGCCCGTTTGGATGGCTATGATTTCTAAATACGAGCTCTCTCAACATAATATGTGGACTCCCGGCGTCACCGAAATCTCTCTTCTGCGAATGCCCCTCACTGTTTCTGGAAGGTCACCCCCTGAAAGTTTGACAAAGTTGGTGGGCGTCCTCCCCCACCAACTTCCACCCCAACCTCAACCCACCCCCACCCCCACCCCAAAATCCACCCACCCCCACCCCCCACGCCCCACCCCAACGTCCACCCCCACCCCCCCGCCCCAACCTGCAACCCGCACCCCACCCCCCCTTACCCCTCAGGGTAAGGGGGGGGGACCCTTTGAGTTCTCCTCGCACTGCGCCACCCGCAGCGCCTCGCGGGCCTCCGCCTCGCTGGGCTCCTGGAACCCACGTGGAACGACCTCCCCGCCCATGGGCTTCCACCAGAAAAACGGGCCTTCCAGGTAGCAAACCAGTCGGGTCCATGCTAGATGAGAGTCAGAGTTGTTGAAATCACGGCTGAAAAGCCCCCCAAAAAAAAAACGACCCTGGTCAGAATGACTGGGGTCATGCGGGTGCGTCAAACTTGGCGTTGATCTTTGTCTCAAGAACAGGGAAACCATGGTTGCATTGGGCGGCCATTGATTCCATATGCCACGCGTTTCGTTGAACAACGCCATGTCCTCCTCGCAGCCGTAGAATAGATTCTCCCGGACTGTGCGGTTGCACAGCACCAAGTCCTGGGGAACTGAGGACTTCAAACATTCCCAGAAGCTAACTAGCTCACGACAAACCAATGAAATGTTCACCTTTGTGGAATGCACAATTGAACACCGAATTCCTAGCCCAGATTTAAAGAATGGCTCATCTTGTTGAAAAACTGCCGGACATTGCCGGTAAACCTGCTACACTGTGCCAAAGCACTGCTACAATGTACCAGGCCTCTCCCTGCCAAGAAGGCTAGGACGCGCTCCTCCAATCCCACCTAAAGACCGACGGTGACGACCACCCGGTCTTACATCTAGGTGTCATTTGGTAAATGAGATGGCACGGGTAAATGACTTGGACCAAATTAAGACTAGCGCCAGCTATGCTTAAGCATCGACACCTACGAGTCTCCCAGGCAAACCTCTTCCAAGGCGTTTCTGATGGAAGGTCCTGGCTGACAAAGCCCATGTGTCTCCGAAGCCACCTGAGAGGTCAGAAAGTATCCACCGAACTTCAAGCCAAAATCCCCCCCCCAAAAAAAAAGCAACCTGCTTTGTTACTCTAGTTGCCTTTTTTATGTTCTGTCTTGTTTCCTTCTGTTGATCTCAAAAAGTATTTTTACGCTTTCAAGTAGTCCCTGGGAGGCAATCTTCTTCTCTATGCCATACAGGGGCCTTTCTGGGAGCTAAATTATGGCCCGGATAAGCCTCAAGGCGTACAAAAGCCTTGCCTCAGGAGACCTGGTGGAGTGACGAACCCTGGTCTTAGAAGGGACCTTCCTTCAGCATTCAGGTTTCCAGGTTACAAGCCGGCATTTTCTTAACGGTCCACGAAGGTTGCCAGGCAACCCTTCAAGGGCAGCGCAAGACCTCTGGATCAGACTTGTTGTCGCCGAAGGTGCGTCTGATTGGTTTAAGGAAGAGCCAACTAAAAGCCACCTCTAAGCCCACTAAACCCCACCCCAAAACAACCCAGACCTACTCCAACCAGCACACTGAAACAACCCCAAGCCAACCCTAAACATTTCAAACAAAGTCTAAATTCACCCTATTCCCATCCCAAGCCCACCATAAGTCGTCTGTAGACAAAGCTCCACCCGCCCAAAACAAAGCTGGCTGAGGTCGAGTCAGGCCGAGGCGCAAAGGGTTGTACTCCTTGATATCCCGGCCGTCCAGCAAGATCCTTACTTTACTTGCCCAGATTCATGTGGGACTCCGCGCAACTGAGTATCTCTCTTGTTGTGTTAAGATCATAGCTGAAATCCGGGAGCACGCCCCGACAAGAAGACGTGTGGGGAAACCAATCTTCTGTGACCAAATGAAAAAGGGCACCCCCTCGTCTCAATGTCTTGTGCCAAAACACAAGGCGGCACGCCAATTACAAACGCCACCGCCAAGGGCACCCCCTCTCCAAAGTCTTCTTCCCCCAAACGCACAAGGCTGCATACCAAGACCAACCGCCACATTCCGGGCACACACACACAACCAAAAAATGACTGAGCCATGGGTTCGCGAGCGCATGGCTCATCTAAGCTGGGGTTCTGCCCGCTCTGGGGCTCGTAGAGCCGTAGGATCAGCGACAGCACCGTGGACTTTCCGGAGCCCGTGGTGCCCAGGATGCCCAGAAACTCACCCTGCGGCGGGCGTCTTGCTGCGACGCCAAATCAGGGAATGAGAAATGGAATGACCTTTATGAACCATCCAACTGGTGGTTTCCTTTAAGGGAATCGCGGGTTCATTCCCACATTCCCTAATGAGCACCAGCAAAAATGGGGGAGGGTGATTTGTTTAAAAAGAACGCACAGCTGGATTGTTTGAACAAAAACCCCAGATTATTGTCTATTTACAACCCCGCCTATCCTGCTATGCCACCCGCCACCTTTTCAAACCCCCAACCCGCTTCTTTACGTCCTTTTTATCTGGCTTACTTACAGCGCCAAGCAACAGGTTGCGGCTCAACAGGCTCAGGAGGGTGCCCGCAAGATTACAGGGGTCCTGACATCTTGGTTGCTTTAGATGTACAGGGAAACCAGATTTTGTTTCTAGTTCCAGAAAAGGGCGAGTTCCAGAATCGAAAAGAAAGATGGACGGTTGTCAACGCTTGCCATTCTTATCAGTCACCCGTTGTCCAAATGGCTTTTCCCCCACACGGGGGTCTCTCTTGTGGGCATTCTTTTGTTGTGGCATTGGTTGGCACGCTTTGAGGGGCTGGACCAGTTTGGGGGGGGGGGGGGCCTCTGTAATAGCGTGGCTCCAGCGATTTTTCCCATTGAAGGGATGTTTTACACATCACCTTCTGCGACAAGTTAAAGCGGATGACACTGAAAGTGGAACATTTTTCAATTCCCAAGGCCTGTAACTTCATCTTGCTTCCCTTTCAAGGGTCCCCAAATTTGCCCCAACCCTGCAGCTCTGGCAGTTGGAGCTTGGGCCGGGGAGGGGGGGGGACGTGGAAGCAAAGGGGACTACAGCTGCTTTGTGCTTGGATGCTCCTTGGAAGGTTGGAACATGCCCAAAACCCTGCCGGGCAGGGATCCCTAGTCCGGCGTGGTAGCACTTGGAACATGTTGAATGGTCGGCTCTTGATGGTACTCGCCCTCTTGTTTTGCTTTTTCTTTTCAACGGGAAACCCGACGGGAAGCGCCACCCATGGCCCCCTCTCTTGAGACCCACCCACTGCTTCAGGGTTCGCGCCTGGCGGAGCTTGAAGGATAAGCCCCGCAGAACTGCCGCGCCACGGTGGTAGCTGAAGTGCACCTCGCCTGGGCTGGTTAAACCATTTTCCTGGGGTTTCAGAATTTCATCTCAAAAAAATCAAAAAAGGCCGAACATGGGTAAGGCACCAAAACCAAGACCCTGGCGAGGTCGCTTTTGTAAACGGAGCGAAATCAATCGGCGTGGTACGTATGGTATTTGGAAGCATGAGTGCGGTGCTGAGGATTTGCTAAATGAGCATTTGTGCGGGTTCTCAAACATGCTGTTGGAGGTTGTCATGTCCAGCACCTTGCGAAGGGCAACGCTGAGACTGAAACGAATTGATGTCAGAACCGAGCCTCTCGCCCAAATATTCAAATGTGCCACCCCCCCCCCTCCCTTGCTAGCAGCCTGTTTGCACAAAGGAAGTCAAAAAGCAAAATGATTTGGTATTTCATTGCGTTGTCCCAAAGCTGCTTAGAACTAGGTTGGTGAGCTTCTCAGTTGTTGTTCACCCGTGAAAACAATGTGCTTGTATTCCTCCCTCCCATTATTTTGATTCAGGTCAATCAGTGTGTGCTGCAAACTGTCCTGCGGTTACCTCCCATGTATTAAATTAGTGGCTACCTGATATGCAAACGAATGACGATTCCCGCGCGGTGCTATCTGAGCCGAAACAACTTCACAAACCAGAAGCAATGCCAATGGTAAGACCAAATAATGAATGCTGGCCATAGCAAACACACACGTGTCTTCGCGTCAGGAAAGGTTTGTTGCGTGCCTATACCTACCCCATGGGCTCCAATCCTCACGAATCGCAACGGCTCACCAAGGGGCGGAACTCCAGGTCCCAGCGCATGGCGTTGACGTCCGGCATGGAGGCCAAAGGCGGCTCCTCCAGGCCTTGCGGCGCCAAAAAGGGTGGGCGACTTGGAGTGACCATCAATGGCCATGTCTGCCCCAAGTTGGTTGGAAGCCGGCCGAAAATGGCTGAAGGGATTCTAAAGACGTGTTGCGAAACGAGATGGGACTGTGAAAATCGCATACCTGTTGGTCTCCCTTCAAAGTAATTCAGAAAGGGGTTCAACCATTTGAAATTTATCATGGGAAAAAGGGGGCTTGTCCCTATTATGTTGGCTGCCTGTAGGAAAGCCACCATTATAACCGATAAGGGTACTACTGGACAACGGCCGAGGGCGGTCTTCCACCCAGGACAGCGCCCAACTTATTTTTAAATGTTGAAACGTCACGCCGTGATATGGTTGAGAAGATCCGCGTTCGTACCTCGACAAGGAAGCCTTTGTTTACAGGGGTCTTAAGGATTGAGTGATGTATCAATGGACAAATCACCAAAGCACATGACATCTGCCCCACACTGCCGCATGCTTGCCTGCCTCACGGCAGGTGGCTGTGGCAATCATCTTGGGGAACACACCGCAACTACTGCAACGTGCCTTCACGTGATACCCAAGATAGAATTTGGGTGGAGGAAATGGGTGCTCCTGCTCACGGTCAATGTGGGCCTTCAGTTGCTCAGGCCAAACGAAGTATGCTAGCTGGTTGAAGTGTCTGTTTGTGTTTTCTGTCTTTGCGTCGTTGCATGCTTGCGTGCTTGTGTCCTTGCATATTGCTTTTCTGTTTTGTGTTTTTGTGCCCCCGGTTCAGAGCAACTTCAAGCTAGGAAATGGAACCCTGGTAAGTGGGAACATGGACCAAAACCTGCGTAACCCCTCCTGTTTAATTTTGAGCCACACCCAAATTTCTAAGGTGGGTGCAAAGCAGGGATGGGCCACCCTCCCCCGGTTGAACGTGCTTAAACCAGTATGCACCTTTTGCTTATCGTTTCCCTACAAACGGAACCAGGAGCGACTTCTCCCCAACCCTAGTAAAAAAGGAAAGCAAACCTTCAAAAACACTAACCTAGACTTCAAAACCTAGGCATCAACCGTGCTTTTGGAGAAACAAACGGCAAACAAAATCCCAGGCGCCGATGCGTGGGGTGCGGCCCAACAGCTGCGCCATCTGCGCCATGGGCCCCAGCGCCTGCTGCGAGACGTTGGCCGCCGCGCACTGGGCGTACCTTCCCGGAGGCCGGTGTCTCGCTGATTTTTTGGGAGATGGGTATGTGTCAACATTAAGTGTGGTGTTGTTTTGTTTTGATTTTTTTTTTTTTCCTCGGTACCGCTGTAAACCAACCAAAACATTTCCCTTTCACCTTCACATCCCTTCCCAGGCTTCCCTATATTTACCCTTGAAACCTCAGCCCCCACAGATGGCCCTCTGAGATCCAGTGAGTGGCTGGGAGGCGGACGTTTTGGGCTATGGGTGTGTCATGTATGGCTAGTCTGCCCACGAGCCTGCGGCTGACTGTTTGGGTGATGGGTGGTGTTTCCTCCATCTCCCCAATCCCCAAGCCACCAATCCAATCATCACCCAGGGTCAAGTTATAAGAAGAAACCACCAATCGGCATCCAACTGGGCTCAGACGACGTCGCTCGCTTCCCGCGCGCAACTCGGCGATTCGCCGCTCGGCGGTCTCGGCCTGGCGCCCTCGAAAGCGCCGCTGGCCACCAGCACCGCTGAGGACAACTCCCCGAAGGCCATCTCCCCCCGCAGCGCCAGGCGCCCCCCGTACCTCGCCGCGAGCTCCGGCGCGTGACGCGCGCGCTGCCGAGGGACGCGGAGCTTCCATTGGCAAAACCCAGAGGGGATGGGGCAAAATGAAACCACCAGGGGATAGCACCAGATTAGCAAGTATTTGGGTGTGGGTCCAAAATGGGGTCATAGGAACAACATGGACAAGTAACTCTTTGGGTATGGTTCAGAATGAAACCAGGGACCGATAGGCTTTGTCTTTCTTTCCAGTTGCAAGAGCAAGCCATTCTGGAGTCACCCGATTTTGTTTGAGCCACACCCATGTAGGAAAACATGAGCGACCTTTACTTTGCAGCCTTGACCTCAGTTTGCCATTTCGTCATTTGCCACTCATTTATTGCCATTTTGGAGCTTCCCCCTTTTCGGCTTCAAAACTTGAAACATCCGCGCTGCTGCGCGCACAAAGCTTGCTTGGGAGTTACAGAACCGAAGTTGTTTAAGAACCAAACTCCTACAATATTCCTCCCTCTTACCGGGAAGCATATGACACAGACCACTGTTCCTCCCTTCTTCGCGCGGTCTGGTCGCCAAAGATGTTATGCAGCTTGCTGCACGGAGAATATGCCTTATAGTTAGCTGCAACAGATTAGGTGGTAAGAAACTACTACATCGGGCTAGAGCTTCGGAGCTGTGATTATCCAGCTGCCTTGGCACAAAATATATACGGTCCAATGAAACTGCATGGTCTAAATCACGGTCAATTGCCCTGAAATCACGGTCAATGGCTGCGACTCACGAGTAATCGGCTTGCGGGATTTCACGGTCCGTATACAGGAACGGGGCCTGAACAAGTGTTGGATAAGTTTGGTCGGTGTCTTGGTTTCCTCCGCCCCAAAGTGTTTGGGGAAAACAAATGGCTGTTAGCCCCTTGTGTATATATATATACATAAATCTACAAATAAGGCTACGGGCAGCACCAAATTGAATGGATCTCGTTGGGTTTCCGTGTGTACAACCCAACCCCTGTCCCCCTCGGCACGCCCAAGAAAGAGACATACGGGCCAATGCGCCCATCTCCACCCACCAAATTCCCGACAAGGGGACCACAAAGTGCCGATCTCAAGCATATGCTCCAGCAGCACTTGCGCCGGCTGCATCATGCGGAAGACCAAGGTGGAGCGCTGCTGAAGCTCGTCCTGCACCTTGGGAATGGTGGCCACCGGAGGAAGTTAGCCACCGGAACGATCGCTACCCCGGCTGGGTCGCGGCCACCACTCCGAGTGGAGTGGGGCACAGCAGCAAGGAAAGCCGCTACCATCTAGCAGGTTTCCCTGGAAAGTGGCAGGCACTGGTTGCGCAAAGCTTTTTGGCCTAAAGGTGTGGAACCCTTCTTGGAGAAGAGAGGGTCGCGCTGGAAGAAGCAGGGGTATGTCTCTCTCTCTCTCTCTCCCCCTCTCTGAGAAGCAAGGGTATGGGTGCATAGATTTGCCTGTGGTACCCTCTGTTCGCTTCCCGTGCCACCATAACTACTGTATCAAAATGGATCATCTCAGCCTGTTTGTTCCACGGACAGTTGCAACCTAAAACCCACCGTCCCGGCTCCTGTGCTGCTCTTTCAGGGTTGCTCCCATTCGACCCTTGGGGTTTCTTGTGAACCCTGGCCACACCGCCTGCGATTGAACCCTCCAGCGTCGGACATTCGCTTCAACAACCCCATGGCACCCGTTATCCAGGCACACGGCTGTCTCAGCATACGGGTTTGCAATAGCCCAGTTCTCTTTGACTCCCCTTCAAGAACGAAAGCCGTGAAAGGACACCCTCAAAAACACATCCACTATCATTCCAGGTGGTACCAAAGTGGGCTATCCGCATGACTGCTTTATCCGTGCAAAAAGCCCTGCAAATGCTGGTTGTCCTTTAGCTTTCCCTCTGAGCCAACCCTAAAAACGTCAATCCTGAAAGCCGGCCGGCCGAGTGAAGCTGTTCTGACAACCTTTCTGGGGGAGGGGAATAGTTAGGGAAATCCTGATGTCTCCTGATAGAAGCAAACCTCCCCGGCTGTGCAGACTGAACTGCTTTTGCCACGCGCAACGCCTGTCACTGAAGCCGCCCCCAACCGCCCGGCCGGTGAAAGTCTGCCGCTCGAAGGTCCTTCGGGCGCCACTAAGACTTAATGCCGACGCGGCGCCCGCAAGAAGCGCGCGAAGGCGGCCAGCTCCGTGGGCTCCCGCGCAAAGGCGCGCATGGTGCGCAGCGCCGCCGGGCGCACCAGGCAGCTCCAACCTGAGGCGCGAAGGCACCCACCTCCGGTCGAGCAAATTTTCTTGTTGGCCGCATGAAAGGGCAGCATGCAACCGAGCTCCAGGGAATCTGAGCTTGTGAAATACAACATGTCGAGCCGACCCTCAAAGAAATGGCCGGCCAAATTAGCCACCACACAGAAAAGGCTTGACAGCTGGTGAGTCCGTCAGCACCAACCAAGGGAGGTTCCTTGTTCTTGATCTGGGTGAGGTGTAGGTCACCCACCTAAAGTAAGGTCCTCCCACAAAACCTCATGGTGCGGTCTCTTTCATTTGAAACCTCACTCTCTTGGGGAAGGAATGGGAAGGTTCTGGTTGGTTCACGATGGCCCTCAAAGCTTGTGTCCCATTCGGCTCTGGACTTCCAAAGGCCAGCATTGAGAAGTTCAAAAGCGCGCCTCTCCCCTAAAAGGCCCAACCAAGCTTTGAGAAGGCTAGAAAAAACCCGTCCCCAAAAAAGGTCGCATGGCAATCCACTGGCGGAAAAGCTCCGGAGCTTCTTCGCCTAGCTTTGTTTGAACCTGCTGGTTCTTTGTGATGAATGTGGGATCGAACCTTTGACAACCATAAGCTTCGCATAGGGAATGGTTGGAAAAGCAACACTTGCAGAACAATTCTCCCCCTCTCCCCCCTCATTCTTCGAACAATACCCCCACAAGAAAAAACGATTCCCAACCAAAGCCCAGCGGCAACTGTTGATCTGCCCCTTGAAGTCGGGCAGGCCATTCCTCTGCAGCTGGTTCTCCAGATGCTGCAGCAGCTGTGACAGTAGCAGCCGCAAGGGCAACCTCGACTCGGCTACCGTGTCGCTCCACTTAAGTACAGGGTGCTCGCCAAAAACAAGTACACGTTTTATGGACCTCTAAGCGGGAAATGAGGGGGGGTCGCTGCATGAGTACCGGCTTGGTCCTTAGCTGCGTGTTCAGGCCATCGTTTGAGCGTGCCTCAGGGCACAAGTTTGGTTCAGAGGTAAATAGTTTGGGGTTGGCTCGCGACTCCATTGGATGAGGGTGGGTTTGGGACTTGCTGGTTTGGGATAGTTTTATTCATGGCACTGAGTTGTCTGGGGGAGAGCGGAGGCAGTCATTTCAAGGTTGGGGCTCAAGTAGCGGGTGGTAGCGGTGGGGTGTTTAGGAAAGGGGTGGTTTATGGGTGGTGTAGGGGTGGTTAGGGGTGTTCAGAGTGGAGTTTGGGCTGGTTTGGGGTGGGTTTGGGATGGGTTTAGGATGAGCCTATGGTTGCAGGCTTGGTTTAGGTTTGTTTGCAGGTTGGTTTAGGGTGAGCTTAGGGTTCATTGGGGTAGGACGATTCTTAAGCGTGCGTGTAGGGCGGGTTTAGGGCTTGTTGCTAGATTGCATGGTCGGTTGCTCGCCTGCATCCTCCGCCACAAATGCACAAAGAGCACCAAATTCAAAGTAACAATGACGTGAACACCTGGCCACACTTTGTTGGCCATTGAACAGCCCAGTCGAATATCTATGCCCCTGGAACCCACTTCGTAAAGTTGCTGTCTTGTCAGACTCCCTCAGTTGAGAGATTCTAAGGGGCTCTTCCTCCAGAGCTATCCACACTATGATTTCATCAACTCATTTGGTCTTTGCTTTGCCTACCACAATGGGTATGATTTAAAATAGCAACTGCGTGGGAGATTTGTCTCAGCTCTGCATATTTGAAGGTGCTGCAACCATCAAACTCACCATATTTCCAATCACCGCCAACCCCAGCCATCCCATGAAGGGCCTCGCTGGCTTCTGGATGCTAAGTGAGGGGTCGGGACATGTCTCAAAATACAAACACCCCTCTCCTTTTGGTTCTTGCCCTTGGAAAAAACAACTCGACAAAAGCAGGTGGAAAGGGCTACACCATAGAGTGGGGCGGCCGGTCCTTGCGCCCTCAGGTTCCTTGGGAACCAACGACCCCATGTTCTTTTTCCTCGTGCTGGCTTCTGCGAGTTCAAAAGGAAAAAGGCAAAGTAAGTCGCTGGCTTTGGGGAGTTTAAGCACCAAGCCTCCAGGATGTTTTTGGGGGGGTTCAGACAAAACTCCCTAGGATTTGTTTGGGTGGTTTCACGCCCTCACCCCAATGGCCCAAGAAAAAGAAAAAAAAGAAAGGGGGAACAAAAAGACGACCTCAAGCACCCAGCGGCATCACCCCGAGGAAGGCCGCCAGGCGCCCGTTCTGGCGGCCCAAGGCCAGCACGGCGGCCAGGAGCCGCGCCAGCGCCTCCACCAAAATCGCCGGGAAGTCCACCACCTCGCTGGACTTTTGGACTGAACCTGGACTAGGTCCTCAGAGAGCTTGGAATGGGAACTATGGGGGGGTTGATGAAAAGCATGGGATGACCATTGGGGGAAAACACGAAAAAGATGGAACCATGATGGTTGACCAGGTGACTAAGGGTACCCGACTTTTTTTTCTGTAGTCTATGTTAGTAGGGCAACCCTCCCCGGAAAAGGGTAAACGGGCACTACTGGGGGACCTAGTGGATGTCCCCGTAGCTTGCTGCAATGGGCAGGGAATGAGAAATGGAATGAACCTGCAAGATTCCCTTAAAGGAAACCAGTTCCCTCATGCCTTTACCTCCCCCATCCTCCCCCCATATTAGTGGAGCATACTTTTCCTGCGGTCCAGTGGAATCCACATTTTCGGATCAAATATTGATTCCCCTTTAAAAAAGCAAATCATTTTCCTGTCTCCAAATGACAGTGACTGAATTTCCTTGGGTGACAGTCACTGGATGTCTGAAGTGGATCAAGTTTTCCTTGGGTTTTACAAGAAGGGTCCCCACTTTCGGAGGTTCCAAGGGAAGTGGAGGGACAGGCTTGGTTGCTGTTGACCCCTCTAAAAGTGTTTAACTTTCTCTGGGTCCAATGGAAAACCCACTATTTCCCGAGAAGTTCAAGTCCAAAGATAGCCATAAACCAGGGCCCAAGTCGATCAATTTACTTACTGGGGTCCGTTGACACGATCGCCACTCTCGGAGGTTCAAAAAAGGGAACCGGAGGAAACCATGGACCCTGGCCATTGGTTTACCACTGGGAGGGACCCCATGGATACTACGAAGCGGCCAGTGGTCAGTACGCCAAATGACGGCGATGTCCACGCGCAAACCGCAAAATCAAACCAGGCATCTAAGAGGCTCCCCTGTTTGGGTGTGTGGGTGTGTCGCGGTGTGTGTGTGTGTGGTTTATGTTAGTGTGTTTGTCTGTTTGCGTATCTGTGTGCTTGTCTGTTTGTGTAGTTGTGCATTTGTGTGTTTGTGTAGTTGTGTGTTTGTGCGTGTGCTTGTTTGTGTTTGATTGCTTTGTTTGATTGTTTGCTTTTTTGGTTGGTTTTCACTTGCTGTTGTTGTCTGTTTGTGTGCTTGTTGTGTGTGTGTGTGTGTGTCCTTGCTTGATTGCTTGATTGCTTGCTTGTTTGATGGTTGGATTGTTTGTTTGCTTGCCTACGTACTTGCTTGCTTGCTTGTTTGTTTGTTCGCGTTTTTGTCTGTATGTCTCTCTGTCTGTTTGTGTGTGCTTGTTTGTTTGTTTGTTTGTTTGTTTGTTTGTTTGTATTTGTTCATTTGCGGTTGTTTGTGTGTGTGTGTTTCCTTGCTTGGTTGTTTTGTAGTTGGTTAACTTGTTTGGCAGTGTGCTTCGTTTTGTTTGCTTGCTTGCTTGTTTACTTGTTTGTTTGGTTGCTTGTTTATGTTTGTTTGCTTCCTTGCTTGCTTGCGTGCCTGCCTGCCTCTTTATTTGTTTCTGTGTGTTTGCTTGCTTGCTTGGTTGCTTGCTTGCTTCCTGGCTTGAATGCGTGCTTGCTTGCCTGTTTGTGTGCTTGCCTCTTTGTTTGCTTGTGTTTGTTTGTTGTTTGTGTGTGTGTGTTTGTTGTGGGTGTGTGTGCCTTTTTTTTATTGGCGTGTGTGTGTGTGTGAGCGTGTGTTGAGTCTTTTGTGTCCTCGCGTGCTAGTGCGTATATGTGTGTGCGGTTCCTTGTGCGCTGGTGTGCTTGTGTGTTCTGTGTTTGTTTGTTGTGCCAAATTGAGGGGGGACCCCGAAATGGTGCTTGTCCTGTTGGTTTCCCTTGCGCCCAACCTGAGCAAGGGTTCCCTCTGAGGCACAAACCCATTTAGATGTGAACGAACGTAAGCGCCTACAGCGGCACCTGGGAGACGATGGTGCCGGTGCTACCAATGGTGGCGCGCAGCTGCCAAAGGTCACCTGATGCCACGGACAAAAAACTCGTCTCTCATCCCTCCAAAGGAAACCTGGTTAAATCTTGGTAAGCTTGCCAAGGGCTCTCTGAAAAGGTGGGGTTGCGGGGTGGGAATTAGTGTCATGACCATCCCTTCAACGGCTTTGGTTCCCTTCACTTTCCGTGCGAACACCGCGAAAGGTTCCCTCGCAAAAGGACACACCCATCTTTTGAAGAAGCCCTTTTCAAGGAGCCCTTAGGTCCTGGCACTGTCAACTTCAGATTTATCCCATTCTTGATCCGAAGCTGACACTCATCCCATTCTTTCTTGCCACACCGCCAGCCACTCCCCCCTATCGGCCCGCGGGGGGGGGGGGGAGGTTGCAAGTGTCTGCCAAGGCTGGAATTTCATGAAGGAAGCGTTGAAACCGAGTAGCACTGCTCCAAGTAGTCCAAGTCTTGTCGCAGTAGCGCGGCAAAGAGCGCCACCTTGAGCTCCTGTCCAAGGAATCCCAACATGGGTGCCTTTGTCATCTTTTCAGAGAACAAGGTTTACTGGAGCCTTGGGGGGGGGTCTATGGTCGGGGTATGTTCTGAGAGCCTTTACCGGAGCAGTGGGGGTCTATGGTAAAGCTGCTAGTGTGTTGGCTTCTCTCAGAAGTGTTTTGCGCGAAGGGCTCCGTCGCATCGGGGTGGTTTCAGGGAAACCGGATGAAGCAACCATACTGGAAGCCAAGAGGTGATGCTTGGCGATGTTGGCAACAGAAAACGCCCACCATCTCACCAGGGTCTGCTGCTTAGGGGGCAGACCGACCGTTTTCCCCACCCCCATATCATCCAGATGGTTTTCTATAACTGTCAGGGGGGTTCTAAAAGACAAACCCGACCTCAACTTTTGTCCCAAAACCTAGTCTATGTCTGATCCTGGTCCGTATTCATTGCACCTCTAAATGTGCACAACTTCAAACAAGATACGAAAGCTGGCCCCTGAACCCCAATCCAAAAGGAATAAAACGCCACCAGAAAATTTCCTATGGTTGTATGCAACCTCGTTCAAGTCCTGCTTGCCTCTAGTTGGTGGCTTGGATTGGCGGTTTGGAGCCCCTCTCCCTGCAAGAGCCAAAGGTTCAAATCTCCAAACCACCAATCCGAACCACCAATTCCAGGTTACTGGATACCTTGGGGAGCTCTAAAATGGGCTGTCCTTTGTCAGATCCCCCGCAAACTTTCAGTGGCTCAAATGGAAACCCCCACTAAACCCTACAAAGCTCAAAAGCTAAGGAACCGGAAGGCTGGGAGCCGGGAGCCACCAAGTCCCCCCCCCCCCGTCCGAGCGGATCCCGACGTGGGTCCTGCACCACCTTGGACTTGCCCAGCAGCGTCAGCCGCGCCCGCGCGAAATCCGCCAGCTGCACGATCGCCTCGCTCACCAGCATGGCACCCACCGTCTCCTCAACATGCGGGCTTGGCCCAAACCCTGGGCTACAGGAGCATGTGCACGGCATTCTGGTATGTTCACATATAGATGTAGAAACATCTATCATATCTACAAACTGCACATATAGTGAATTGTATGTGATGATGAATGTTAAGATTCTGCTCACCTGGCCTGCTCCAAAAATCCAAATATTCTCCGAGGTCCGTGGGAAAGGCAGAATGGCGACCTGAAAAGTCAGTTGCGTTCGGTGGCTCAAAAAGTAGAACCAGGCAGTTCTGGGGGTTGATCATGTTTAGTGGGGAAACGGGTGACATTGAACAAAATTGTTTTACGCAACTCAAGCGCTGTTGTCAAGTCCCCTTGTACCCTTGTACTCCGCATACCTTCAAGCCACATACGCCATGTACAGCCACAGGTAGGTGATTGCCCCTGAATATGTCCTTGGCCGATACCGAGTCATAAGCAATAGAAGAATGTAATATGACTCAGGCAACTCAATAAGACGCAATACCAGTCGTTTCCATTCAGAATTCTCGGCGCTTGAACATGCCCTTGCCTGGGGGAATGTGTGGGAACGGGCCTTGAAATCCTAACTTCATACGCTAATGTTTCCTTGTTGGTGAAAAAAGACACAAAGGCCACATTGCGACGTTTTGTGGATCTCGAGCATCAGAGGGAAGGGAATCTCGAGACCCTAGTGGCGGGGCTCAGTACCCAGCGCCCTTGGATATCAAGTTGATCCACGTGTCCTCAATGCTCGAGGAAGCCTTGGATCCTGTGACAGCATCCTTGGCCAAGTTGATGACCGCGGCCTGGCGCTCGGGCGAGCGGCCAGAGATTGCTGAAGGACGGGGTGAAATCGCGGCCTCGCAAAGGTCTTGGCTTGGGACTTTACAAAGCTGTTTGATTGTTGCTCTTAAACAAAAAACACTAGTTTTTTCTTGTTGGGGCGGGTGTCCCTCTGCCAGGTGTTCTTTTTTGCGAGAATCGAGTCCCCCGCAGCCCATCAAGCCAAGGGTTGCATTCAATTTGCTGCAGGCGATGCCATGTCCCTCTTGCTTCCATGCGTCTTCATGGAACGGTAAGTTGTCCTTACCTCGCATGGCGAGGAGGCTTGCCTGTCAAGGTTGGCTCTACCGAGATGGTTACACGTGCTGCAGGCCCTTCCCCACGGCCACTCGTGAAAAGGCTGCTCAATTTCTCCATTCTTCCCCACAAGCAAAATACTTCCATCCCCTTTTAACTTGGCTTCCCTTGTACGCGAATCTCAAAGGAGTTGGATGAATCTTCGAGCCCGGCAACCCCTCGAAACCTCGAAGAGCTTTGGCTTCCCTCCAATTTCCCTTTCAGCCATGCAAGAGCCCCCTTCCAACTTGACTTGGAACTTCACTACGTACTTCGCCCCCTCGATTCCTATTCTAAGGAGGGCGGATACGCCCACCTGGTAGTGAAATCGGATGGCCGAGAAGGCGCCCAGCACCATCGACAGCAGCGAGGCCAGGCCCATGAAGGGCAGGGTCCCTAGCCATTGCTCGGCTTCCCTCGACGTGGTTTGGATGTGACTGGTTCTTGGAGAAGGTACATGGAAAACCCCTCCTTAACCGCCAAACCACAAATCCAAACCACCAAGTAGAGGGAAGCTGAGGTGCTGAACCCGGCGGCCCAAGAAAAAGAAGAAAAAAAGCGTTCCGGTCTGCAAGGAAGCTACCGAAGCTGACTGGAAAGTCCAAGGAAAATATCCTATCAGCTTCCATGTTGGGAGGGGCTCAAACAAAGGACGAAGCCACCAAAGCTGGCAGCGAAACCACTGTACCCAACAGGTGGAGGACTGCAGATCGGGCATGGGCGACGGCGGGGACTGATCATGACTTTGGCCAGTTCGCGGGGCATAATCACATGCAGCCCTGACAGTACTCCTCTTTCCCCCCCCTCGCCCCCTCGTATACAGGTTTGTGCCCCGGAGTGCAGTTGTTTGATGTGATAGCTGGCTTGACACAGCAATTGCGTATGCTGCTCGCCTGCCAAGAGAACAACATGTCCAAAGACCTGGGCGCTTTTGTGAATAACCAGGGTGGCGCAGGCAGTTTATATCAATTGTGATGTGATGAGTCGGATGGCTCAGAGCAAAACGTAGGTGCCAGTCAGTAGTTGGGTCCGACACTTTGGGCGGTGCCCGACCAGGAATAGCCCAGCGACTTGCTCGCTGGAAGTTGCTGAGCCAATCAATCCAACACATCGCGTAGATTCGGATGAGTTATGGCATCTTGTGGGACATGATGCGTCATAAGTGTATAATAAGAGTAAGGCATAAGCCTGGCTTTCATCCAATGCCACCAATGCCGCAAGGGTAACTGGCGGCCATCTCAGTGAAGCTGTTCGCAGTACTTGTGGTTGACTCGTTCTTGAAGGAACCCATGTGGCACCTGGCGAAGCCTCACCACCGCAGCTTCACCCCAGTTTGGGGCGGGTGCCAGCCTTTGAAGCGCCACAGCAAGGCGGCGACACACCTGACACAAGGGTAACCGGTGGCTCTACGGATCCATGTCTGAAGTGAGTACTTGTCAAACTGATAGACCCTTTTTGAGACGTTTAGTGAAGGCTAGAATGAAAACCAGGCTTGATGTTTGACAACCCTCCCCCGCTTCTTCTCTTCATCGCGAATCGACACAGCGGCCGTGCCAAAGACCCGCACGAACCAAACACACAAAGAATATGGTGAAAGGACAGGTGCATGACTTAGTTGGCAGGGTAGTAAGACGTGGTCACTTGAGACAAAGGATCCCAGTTGATGTGGCCCTCAAAAAGTGGACTCACCGTTTTCCTCAACCACAAAGGGGGGTCCGGGGTACCCTCAAAAGAACGACACGACACACCTCTTTAGAACCTCCCCCCCCCCGCTGAAGCGCCCGCGGGCGGCGCCTCCACTGCGCCAGGCGCCTTTGCCGCACCAAGGCCTCCGCCTCCTTGGCCGCGGCGCCGAAGCTGCGGCCCAGGCGCCGGGCGAAGGACCTCTCGCAGCGCAGGGCCACGGTCTCCGCGAAGTCCTGCCGCGGGTAGTTTCGGTCTGGCGTTGGTGGATTTTTCTCTCTCTCTCTCTCTCTCTCTTTCTTTATCGGATTCAATTCCTGGTTTGGAATTGGTGGTCTGAGGTCTGGATTGGTGGTTTGGATGGGTGGCTTGGATTGGTGGTCGGGATTGGTGGACTGAAGTGGTGATTAGGATAGGTGGTTTGAGTTTGTGGTTGGATTGGTGGCTTGGATTGATTGTTTGGACTCGTGGTTTGGACTGGTTGTTAGTCGCTTGCACTGGATTGAACTTGTGGTTTGGATCGGTGGTTTGGGTGCGGTGGTTTGGATTGGATGTCGGGATCGGTGGTCGGGATCGGTGGTTCGGATGCGGTCTGCGTCGGTGGCTTGTTTGGACTGGCTGTTTGGATTGGTGGTTTCGGTCAGTGGTTTGGATTGGTCGTTTGGATCGGTGATGGTTTGGATCGGTGGTTTGGGTTGGTGGCTTGGACTTGTGGTTTGAACTCCTCAAAACGCCAATCCAATCACCAACGGGTCTTCGTGGTTTTGCGGTGGTTTTAGCATCAGAAAGAATATACAGGCAAACACATGTTGATCTGGTGTCCGTTTCTTGGTCGTTACAATCAAAGCAACAAAGAAAACACACATGACGGTGCTTTTTCCTTGCATTAGAGTCAAACCTATGGGAAAGTCTCTAAATGAAGCGCCTCGGTTCTTGAGGTAGTTGTCCAGCTTTAGAAGGAAACCCATATGAGAACACACCAGTTAACTTCCTCTTGCTGCCGGCCAAATGATCACACCACAGGGGAGTTGACCCGGCAAATGTTGGCAGATTTGTGAAGGAGCTCCAAGTTTGGGTGTGGTTTTCAAGGGAAACCAAGGTTCAACCACCATGTTCCACCATTTTCTTTTTCGCGACTCTCACCCTCTCTGATGAAAGCTGTGAACCACCAACCCGTTTTTGCGGTCCTATTCTGAGGCTCCCTGTTTGGGTGTGGTCTTCAACGGAAACCAAAATTCAACCACCCTTTTCCGCCATCTTCTTTTCCCCTCTCTGATGAAAGCCGTAAACCACCACCCCCCCCATTTTGCACCCATTTGGTTTCCTATTGATGAACGCTTTCACCACCACCAGCACCTTTCCTAGGTCCTCCACTAGAGAGGTTAGAATAAGGGTACCCTTTGTTCTGTAGTCTCTTTTTGTAGGGGAACCCTCCCCCAAAAAGTTGGTAAAGAAGGGCACTGCTGGGGACCTAGTTCAGCACCACCACCACCAGCACCAGCACCAGCACCAGCACCAGCACCAGCACCAGCACCCACCTGCCTATTCTGAGGAACCAACTGGGTGGTTTCGGTTTCTTCACCTCCGACCCCGAAATGTCCCCCGCCTGCAGCTCGCGCAGGCGCTGCTGCAGCGCGTCGCACTCCGCGGCCTGGGCCTCCTGAGCGAAGCGCGCGCTTGGAGTAGGAAAAAAACCCGGAAAACCGCGGGTTCCCCCACCTAAAAAAACAACAACGAGGAGGAGAAGAAGTCCGAACTTTTTGTTTAGCGTTAAAATGGTCCAAACCCCACAAAAAGTGGCGAAACTCCAACTCAAGAAGCAGGAAGCTCCATAAACATGTCCTGCGCAAACTCCTTGAACCCCCCCCCCCCCCCCCCCACGCCTTTTTGGGGTGCCCCGGTGCCCCGTCCTCTGGCGCCCGTGCCGCCTTCCGCGCCAGCATTTGCAGCTCGCAGGCGCTCAGCGCCCCCGCCACCGCGAAGCCCAGGCGCGCCGCGGGGGCGGAGCTCTCCGCCTTGGCGAGGTCCTGGCAGGAGAGGACCACCCCGCCGCAATGGGTGCCATACTGTGGGACGAAATCCTCTTAGGCACCACGAAAATAAAGCCTGGAATTAGGCCCTTACCAGGTGAAAGTAGATGATCGCAGAATCGCTTTGGTAAGTAAGGAACCCTTTCAAACAGGTGAAAGTTGGCACAATCCCCTTGGTAAGTCAAGGGGGTGTCTAAACCACAACGGGGAGATTGTGCCATCCGCTTTCACCCAACTGCAAAAGCCTCTTTAGCTGCTGATTGCCTACTTTTGGGCTATCTTATTTTAGCTCGCTATCGTTTACAGTGCTTTCCCGCCAAATGCTAAACTGAAAGTTCTGGGTTTTGTGATGCCTCATGTTCAAGAGAGTGAGAAGAGAGGGAAAACAGCGAAAGAGACAATTGAGTGAAAGTTCGGTTAGTACATGGGGCACCTCCTCTTCTCCTCCCAAACCCATCTAAAAACTGAACTTCCGGTTGGTACTCTCCTCCCTCCCACCAAAACCCAGCAGAACTGCGCATGTCAGTCACCGAGGCAGAACTACTTCTTTGGTGCCCACATTTGCCCAAGGACTCTCATTTCAGGGGAACACCGCCCATGACTTTCTAACGACTGAATACGGTGCTTGTTAGTGGGGATCCTCAGGTGGACATTTTTGGACGGGGATTTGTGGCTGGAGCCCTCTTTGTTCAAGGCCCTCCTCCGCGGCATCGGCCACCTCGGGAAAGCAACGGCGCAACGGTTTTCCGTCGTTACCCTTGCTTTTTGCTTGCTTTTCCAGGGGGCCTGGCAATGAACCGCAGGATCGATCCTCAAGTGGACGGTCTTAAGCCCAGTCCACTTCCATTGTTGGCAAGTGGTAGTTGAACCCAGTGACCCAAAGCACAGGCACTGCTTTGGAGGGCGCCACTAAACAACTCGGCACCCCTGGTTCCTCCCCATATTTCCTCCACCCGAAACCAGGAAATGGAGGCTGATCACTTGTCCTGGTTCACTTGAAATCAACCATCAACCGTGTGGAGCCTAAGCCACATGAAGAAAACTGAGAAGTCTAGAAAATTCCCAAGCGCAAGGGGGGTTGTTGCCAGGCTGCAGATGTTCAGAAAGGCTCGTCTCCATTCCGTAAACCAGGCCTTGTTCAGGTTCCACGGTTTGGGAGTGGCAAGGGAAGGCCCGTCTGACGTCTGGAATTGGTATAGCCCATTGGCCATTGGACACCGGGTGCCAAGTGGATAGCAAGGCAAATCCCCAGAGTTGTCTGCACTTTCATTGGCAACCTCGTTGCACCCCTCGGGGGCGAAAGAGCCAAGGAGTGCAAGTTCATTGCGCCCCTGCCATCCGAAGGCCCGTGCAATTCCCTAACCCCTAGCCCCCGTTTGGCTCGGGTGGCGCCTTTCCGCCTGTCGGTGAATCCTGAAAAAGGAACCTTCCCCACCCCAATCCGAAGCATGGAGGCTCGCCTACCGAACAAGCAAGCAAGCAAGCAACGCAACAAACAAGCAAGACAAATCAAGCAAAGAATGCAAAACAAAAGAACAACACAAAGCCAAAGAAGAAGCAGGCGTCCGACAAGATCTCCTCTGACCGCCTTCCCAGTTGCAAGATGAAGAATTGGAGAGCCCACCAAACAAAAGGGGCTTTGACGGCTGCCACTGAACAACTGGGGAACTGTTCTGGGGGCCTGCCCCTGGCTCTTGAAGAGTCAAACAGGGTAATTACCCCGCAACCAACCCACAAACCGGCAAACAGCCGCCAGGCCAAGGTGCAGACTCCGCAGTGATCGGAAACTTGAGCGGCTCCTGCCAAGGAGACGGAACTTGGGCTGATGGGCTGAGGGGCCCTTCAAACAGCTTGAAGCTGGGCCGAGGGTCCGAAGGGAAACGCTGCGACTATTCTATCCATTCTGCCTCGTTTCCTGGGAAACCCTGTATCCAAAGAAATGAAGCTTTCGACCTGCATGCAGTTGATGCTGGTGCCAGCCAGCTGAATGGCCTGGGAGGAGGGTGGGAAGAAGCCAAGTACCTGCCCACAAAATGAGCGTTCGCGCCATTTTCTCGCCCCTCAACCCAATTCTTACATGAGCTTGCTGTAACTATCTGCATCCCGGCATTCGCGCGGTGACTGTGACAAATGGCCTGCGCCAAATCCCAAATATAACAGGGGGCCGTCTATGAGGCGAAGAGGAGTAGCTGGGTAGCATGGGCAACGCCATGCTGTATGCCATCCCTAGTTGGTTGGCAGATGTTGGCAGAAAGGACAACCCTTAGAGATCCTTCAATTCCTAGCTTGAATGCCAGCCTTTAAGTCCAAAAGGCTTACCTTGGGTAACATTGCCGCAGAGTGGGTCTCCTCAACTTCCTCAATCTGCTCGTCCTTCTTCTCTCCTTCCTCCTTGAGCTTCTCCTGCCAGCGTTGCCGCCCGAATGCAAACCCTTGGACCTGCCCAGGGCCCCAAACCCACCTAGTTGCAGCTCCGCAATGGGTCAAAAGCCGGCAGTACTGCCCCAGATGTGCACTTGTGCAAGCACCGGCGGAAATGCATACAAACACATATGTACACATACATGTATACACACATGTGCAGCAGTATCCAACCCGGAGGTGCCACTTTCGGTCGCATTTTTCCCTGGCCCCCGCCTTTCTTCGGGCCCGATTTCCCCCCCCCCCCCGCCAGGTTTTGCCTCCAGCTCCGGCAGGGGGACCAGGCGCTGCAGGCGCCGCAGCGGCAGCTGGGCCAGGAGGTCCAGCAGCTTCTTCCGCCGCTTCTCGCGCTCCTCAGGAAGGGCGAGGTGGGGTGGTTTGGTAGGTGGTTTGGTGGAGTGGTTTGGTTGGGTGGTTTGGTGGAGTGGTTTGGTGGGTGGTTTGGTGGAGTGGTTTGGTTGGGTGGCTTGGTGGGGTGGGTGGGGTGGGGTGGTTGGGGTGGGGTGGGGCGCTCCAACGTGCGGCGCAGTCGGAATGAGTTCGTATTCGCGCCTGGGATGTCACGAGGGCACCGTATCCACTGAATGTTGGAATGTGGTTTGGTTCAAGGCTTACATGGTTGCGCAGTTCAAAGTCAAACATGACAAACCGCCGTTAGTATCCTGACCCGTGAAACGGCCTCTGTGTCTCCAGGAGGAAACAGATGGGAATGCTGCGCACCTTCCGACAACACCCCAACAGCAGGGTAGGGATCTGGATCCTTTCCGCCACAACATCGCAGGGGTCACCTTCACCTGCCGGCTCTGAAGTGGGAACGAGGGGATCTCCCCCTATGAACCGTCCCCTCATAGCTTCCCTCAAGGGATCCGTTGCCTGATTCCCAAACAAGCAGGGAACATGTCGCCTTTGATCACAACTGGAACCCAAGTTCACTACACTGGTCAATGAAGGAAACAAACAGGCATGGGCAACTCTGCAGAACCAAGACCGAAAACAGAAGCAACCAAAATGGAACAAACAAGCAAAAAGACGACAAGGGAAACAAAAGACAACGAGGGGGGAGTCCCTGTACAACCACTGTGGCGACTGTGAGGGAATGACCCTTGGCCGAAACCTCCCAAGCCCCAAACTGCTAAAAAGGCGTGGGCCCAGGCCGAATTTCCATCATGGGGCCAACCAACTATTACATGTGTAAGCCAGGATTGCTCAAACAACCTGCTTTTGGCTTCCTTTCAAAGGGTACCAGGCCCAATCTCCCAGTCCCAGTGTGTTTGGGGATGCAAACGGGGGAGTTCGGTCTCTGTGTAGGGGCCCTCAAAACTCACAGTTGTCCTTCTTGTCCCCCTTTCAAACCAACCCAAGAGCCCTGACAAGAACACATTATCCTGTGAAGAATCCGGTCCTTCGTCACCCAATCGCGCATGCCGTCATCTTCCAGCACGTCTTTGGTTGGTCCACGGGTCAGCCACCTCAGACAAGCCCAAAACTTCCGGCAAACCGGTTGGGGGTTGATCCTCTTTTAAACCAAGTGGGACAGTATCTCCATTGACCTCCAGCGACCCAAGCCAGCAAGTAGAGGGAAGGTGAACTAAGCGTGCAAAGTACCCCTCTGCTGAGTGGTTCGGTGGCTATTGCATACCGTTTGTTCCGTGGGGGTAGTGCTCTATTGGCAGCACAACATTCTGGCAAAGGAAAACAAACACCCCGCGAGATGAGAAAGCTGGGTGGAAAATTTCAAAAGGTGGGAAAAACACACGACCACTTGTGTGCGTTGCATCTTTAATATTCGCTTTATCTCCTGGAAGCCGCCCATTCGGCAGCTTTTTTCGGTGCCAATTCGCCATCTTGCAGCTTCCCTCTATATTTTTGTAGTTTGGATGAGTGGTTTGGATTGGTTCAGGAGGGGTACACCCACCAAGAAGAATCCTCCAACACGTCCGGTGGGGACTCGGGGGGACTACCAGAGGAAGCAATGCACAGGTCTGGGCAAAGATAGGCCTCCCTTCCTGGACCCAAACCAAGTAGCCTTGGCCTTCGGTATGTTTTCCCGCGTCTTCTAAAAACCCCAAAAAATGGTAGGTTTCCTGTTGGCTTCCCTTGTCGACCAAAAAAGGGGTACCCTCAAAAACCCAAGACATACGCATAGGTTTTCTTTTTGCCTCCCTTGACAACCAAAAAAGGGGTATCCTCAAAAACACATTTCCCCCAAGAGGAACATCTTTTGGCGGATTCCTCATTTGGGTATGGGTCAAAATTAAACCACCAGGGGACCGCAGGTTTTAGTGGCTGGTTCCATTTACCAGGGCAACCCATTTTGGCTGCCCTTTTTTGACCCAGCCCCACTTATCCTCTGCAAAGGCCAGGCCCGTTCAAATCCAAATCCAAGCTGAAGCTTGGCTCGTCTCGGGCCCCGGGGCCCCCGGGGCCCAGGCAGCAGCAGGAGGCCCAGCACCACCGCCAGGCCGCCCTTCCGCAGCAGCACTTTGGGCGCCGGCGGCCAGTTGGGCACCGCACGGAGCGCCAGCGCCTTGCGCGGGTCGAGCGGATCCAGGGGTCTTGTTTGCCGCAGAACGGATTTTGTGCTCCTCTTGGTGTTGCTTTAAACATGTGAAAGGATTCCGCTCTTCTGCAACTTATTGACAGATACGCATGCATGTATACAAATATGAGTATAGCAATGTGTAAGTATATATATATATATGTTCACTTAAAAGGCACGTAAAACAAGTGTATATATATATAGCTATATGGATACGTACATATATGCATGTGTGTGTGTGTGGATATGTGTATGTATGGACCCTATGGTAGACTTAAACCCAGGGCTTGCCGTTGGGCACATCAACCACAGGGTGGATAAAAGAAAAGCCGTGGGAAGTCAACTTGGGGCTCAGCCCCTGGCCCCCGAGAAAGTGCTCGAACTTTGTGTCTAAGCCACGAACATGGTCTTCCCAAAAAGTTTGCTTAAAGTCAAGGAACTCAGGATCTGAGTGGCCCGCTTCAAAACACTTTTTTCCCCGATATTTTTGAGGGGGCATGGCCATTGTCTCGCGCACATGATTAAGGGGTTGAGCAACATGCTGTGGAAAACACCGCCTCCTTTCAGTAATGCTGTTCAGTGGTTCATTCCCATCCTACCATCGCTAGCTTCTGATTCTAAGTGGCAACCTAGAGAACATGTTCAAGGCAAATCTGCCATGTCCGGGCGTCCAACGCATGGGGCAACCCTTCCTGGAGGGTGTTTGAAGGAGAAGCTTGTAGAGAAAATCGGCAAGGACTGGGTGGGTTGCCACTATTGAGGGCCGGGGGGAGGAGGAGGGGCTTGACACATGAACATTCAGGTTCACGCCCGTAGCCGTTACAAAGAGCCTCCAATCCCAGAAGCCAGAGAGTACAAGGCGAACCCCTGTTTGCCACGCCTAGACTTGTCCAAATTGAGGAAGGCAAACAGCAAATCAATTGCTTCCAGATCCATGCCCTGGAGGGTCGAACACAAACGCGGCACGGTGCCTCCTCAGTCAGGTTAGCGGCTTGATCAGCCCAACCCCCCTCGCCCAACCCACCGCCCCGCAGGCAGTAACTTTTTGCGCTTCTTTCCGCGCGGGCCGCGAGGCCGCGAGGCTTCGCGGCAGCGCATGCATTATCTCCAGGACATCTGCAAGCCCTGGATCTCCCACCAGCTCTTTCCACGACCCACTGGCTGACATGCGAGGAGCTACTCGGTGATGCGGATGTATTCCTATGCCAAGTGGCTAAACGGAAGAAAACGGGGCGCCCTTAGGTTGGCCATCTGAAATGTCAGCTTTCTTGGTAACTCCCAATCCAAACCCCAATTTCAGGATGGCATATCTGAAAATAGGTCCGCCGGCCCATTAAACAAAAGACACACACACAACAGAAACTCCTAACAACCACCAATAAAAAAAAAAAAAGAAGAACCAAGAACCAAACGGACACCAAGAACAACCAAACAAACAAGAACCCCAAACTCCAAACCCAACAAACACCAACACCATCCAAGCAAAAAAAAGGGACACAAAAACAGCTGGAAGAAGAAGCGGTGCCAATTCCAACTTGGGCTCTGGTTCCAGGGTCTTGGAGCGCTTGTAGTGGATCTGCAGGCAAACCAGGCCCATGACCATCCTGGGTGCTAAGAACATGCTTAGGGGTCCCTTTGGGGGAGAATTGAGACAGATGTGATGTCTAGCCTTTTCGTAATCTTAGAGAACACATGAATTAGTCATTTCGTACTTTTAGAGAAAAATCCTGAATTATTCATCTTTTGGCTTTCCTGCAGGAAAAAAAAAACAAAAAACAGAAACGGCTCCAAGCCCTTGGGCGCTTGGGGAAATCCAGCCAAAGCATCATGTAGACGCCGATGAGCAAGCCCAGGCTCAAGAGGCTGGCGGATAGCATGCACAGCGTCCCTGGCGCTCGTTTTGGCGCTCGGAATGCGCGTGATGATAACTCGAGGGGGTCGTCGGGCTGGAGAGTTTCCACTTCCCAAGTTGACTGGCCAAGAAAAGTTTGAACTTTTTATTTACCGCTAGAATGGTCTTCCCGAAAAGTTTAAAGTCCACCAACTCAGGAAGTGAGTTTTGGGGGTTGTTCAAAAGGAAAGGGTCCCAATTTGGAGCCCATGGTCCCTTTCTTGGCCACAAACCGCAGGGCCCAAAACAGGTATCCCGTTGTGACCAAGCATCGACTAAGTCCCGCAATGAGCTTGCCAACATGTAACCCACCTAAAGGGGCATAATATCTAGGATTGTTGAACGCTTGCCAAGTGGGGAGGGGGGTCAGCCTTGGTCTGGCGTGGTGAAGCTTATCAGCTTCCCACTAGTTGGTGGCTAGAAGCAGGGGTTCAATCCCCCAAACCACCAATTCAAACCACCAACTAAGGGATACCTGAGCTCAATGTCTAGAACCCAATTAAGCAGTCCAAAAACGGCGCTTCTCAGCTCTGATTTGCCACCCTTGAAGACTCACTTGATGCACATGAGGAGGTACGCGAACAATGGTGAACCCAAGCCAGGAAGAAGCAGTTAGCTACCCAGCATACTGGACAGCGAAACCTTTCCCAAAGATTGGCTGCCCAAGGTGTTTGTTTCATTGCAACCTTCCAGGTTATAGGGAAAAACCCAGTCCTTGGAAGAGGTAGAAGAGGCCTCTGCCCCAGAGCATGGTCAGTCCCTTCGCCCACTCGTGCATCCACTTCTGCAGTGGCAGCAGGGTTTCGTGCAGCTGCGATGCAAAGGATGGGTGGCTCTCCGTCACCACGGTGACCGCACCAAAGAAGACCATGTATGCGTTGACCACCTGGAGCCAATGGGTGTTGCATAGGCGGTGCAAATTGCACATTAAACCCTTGGTGGCTTACTCTTCGGCAAAATAAATGAACAGTATGAGAAACCTGGAAAGCTCAAAACGGCACCTGGCAGGCAATGTATCCGCCAGTGCTTCTGTCTTTTCATGGAAAGAAGGGTCTCCCAGTGAACTTGCTTGCACTTTGCGCAATGGATCCAAGGGGCATAGTAGATGGGCTCCTCGAAGACGTCGAAAATATCAATCACCTCACGTGGGTCAGAATCAAAACAAGCTACTAAGCGGGCCTAGCCAAAATCACAACCGTGGTAAGGCAAACATGCGCAAGGGGCGTTGCCCTGCCTAACCTTCAACGATAGCCTCATTTTGGTTCTAGGTTTTTGCTCATGTTGGTTTAGTCAGCTTTTGGGCCGTTTTGAAACGAGTCAAACACTTGGACCGAAACGATGCCGCGCCCACCTTCAACGACCTGGTTTTGACTGTGCCCCACTTGCCAAAAACACCTGGAAATCAATGGCGGGCCCGGGGGGCCAGCATGATAAGGTCTGAACCTCAACCAGCTTGCAACACTCGACTCAAAGAATCCGGAAGTATCTGGTGATATGTTTCGGGTTACAAACCCGGATGTACCTGGATCAAAGCTGTGAGGCAAAATGAAAGGTCAGAGAGCGGAGTATCCCATTTGTTTAAGAAGGCAATTGCACATCGAATTGAGCACTGAACCAATCGCTGAGTATTAAGTAGAGGGTCGGAGTAGAGGTTTTGGAAACACCAAAATCATACCTTTCCTGGCGTCAGTGTGAAAACGAGGAGCTCATAAGCAATGGCATTAGCACCCAGGTTTGCACATCATGGATGGAGCTCGGCAACCTATATTATATTCTAGGGTGTGTTTCACTTGTAGTCGTCGGTTGGATGTAAAACATATAGCCTAACCCGGGCATTGTGGCATGGAGCGGTCCCGCGGACAATATGAACTGTTGAAAAGGACAAAATAGGGTTGTGCTCCTGGTTCTGTGAGGAATTCGGGTTGTCCCCCCCATGCCGTCCTCAAACCAACACTAGACTAACAATGATACCGTCAGCTACTCAAAATGATTACCATACATGCCAGGGTTCCCTGAACAACCAACACTCCAAATGGTTCTGGACTGGGTTTAGGTTTAATACCAAAGGACCCCCCTTAAAGTGACTTAAAGTGGTCGCATTCAGGAAGCCAAGAAACCCGTTGTGAGGGAAACAATGGCAAATGTCTCTGCTTTTTTTGAGGTCATTTGACCAGCCGGTTTGACACCGCCTCCGGAGGCCGGTGGGAGTGAGCACAATAAACAGAGCTTCCTTCTTGAAATATCAGCCACCAATGAAGTGTGCAAATCTATCCCAGCTGCCCCCCCTCTCCAACGATTCCAAAACCCAATTTCAACCAGAATGAAAAATTATTCAAGCATTAACCAACAGATTGCCATGATTTCATGATTTCATGGAACCGGTCGAACATGAATTGGCCTGGAAAGGATCGGCGGAGGCGGAGTGCCGAGCCGCCCCGAAGATGCCAGTGATCACAATGGCCAAGCCCCCCGCGAAGCAGAGGCGGTTGATCTCGTGGGGTGTGGCCTCGATGTATTTTTGGAACTCCGCCACCTTGTCGGCCGCCAGCCTCGGCGGCTGCCAAAAAAAGTGCTTGCTGCAACCCAACGGCCAGGGCCCTTGTGAAGAAAGAAAAAAGGCAGGAAAGGTCCTTGGGACCTTGGCTGCTTCACCTGGTTGGTCAAAGGGGAGGAATGGGATTGGCGCACACAACGAGTTCTTCAACACCCAGAACGACCAAACATGTGCTTCAATCAGCTCAGCAGCTCGTTGAAGGATTTCGAGTGCTCCGGAGTCATCGCCCAGAAAACACGGGGCTCGCACGCGCGCGAGGGCGCGCCCCTCGCGCTGACCAAATGCACGCTTGGCACGCGGCTTGAACCACTGCTGCGGGAAACTGAGTGAAGGGCCGCAGCAGAATACGCATAGATATGCATTTGGACGTTGACCGTGATATCCATAGTTAGCCTACATTTGCTACAACAACAACTTGAGAAAGGGCGGACCGTCCGCTGGCGCCATTGGCCAGAGAAGCTGACGTGTTTTTCATCGGCCTGCTTTAGACAACGAAGCTTGCGAACCCAGCGTGGAAATGGCAAGTCTCACCAGGCGGCAAGGCATGCATCCAGGCAATGGCAGCAGGTGATACACCAGCCCGGACGGGCAGCCCAATGTGGAAAGTACGGGGGGATTTGATATTCCAACCTGCTTGGGGGGATTTGGCACACTCCGGATTTCAGGCGGATTTAAGGCGTGCAGGGCACGTCTCCTTGGCCAGACTTCCCTGCCTTCGCCCGGCGCCGGATACGCGACACCAGGGCCAGCAGCGCCAGTGCCAGCGGAGCCCGAGGGATCGCAAGCGAGTCGCTCATGGCGATCGAATGGAACCGAGATCTGAGGTTCTCCTTCAGTTTGAACGGGGTCTCCCAGGGTCACGTATGTTGGGGCGAAAAAGGGGGATGAATTGTTGTTCTTCTGAGACCTTCAGTTTGAACGGGGTCTCCCAGGGTCACGCATGTTGGGGCGCAAAAGGGGGATGAATTGTTGTTCTTCTGAGGTTCTCCTTCAGTTTGAACGGGGTCTCCCAGGGTCACGCATGTTGGGGCGAAAAAGGGGGATGAATTGTTGTTCTTCCGGTTTGGAAGGAAATTGCCAGTTGAAAGAGGGATCCTATTAGTCTGGAAGCATCACCCTGCCCAAACGAGATTCACTTCAATTTGGCAATCCAAAGTTGATACTTCCCACCCCAAACGGGAACCCAAACAAAAGCTTGCATTTGTCCCCTTGGTGTCCCTTTGCGAGCCCTCCAAGACACGTCCGAAGAGGCCTGATGCCAGAACCTTCGGCTCCCGGTTCGCGAGACGCAGCGAAGTTCGGGAAAGGCAGGCAAATGGGGTCCGAAGGGCGACAGATCCGATGAAAACAGCACGCATTTGCCACTTTGGCGGGAGTGTAGATCAGGCACTCAAGCATTCACATTTCTAGCGCGGAGTTTCCGGCACCTCTCGCTACTTTACGAACTTATCCGCTTGCGGTCCTATGCCAAGTCCAGAGCTGAGTTGCTGCGGCAAGAAGCTCGCTTTTTGGGTGTCAGTTGCAAGGGTAACTCAAGGGAAACCAGCCTTTTTGCGTCTTCTAATCCAGCGGCCGAGCCGTGGAAATGCAGGAAGTGTAAACTCAGTGTGAATGTTTAACTTGTCTAAACATTGTCCCTTTCACATGCATCAGCCCTGCACGCCACCAAACACAAAGGTACACACAGCACGCATGTTTCACACCATCAAAAAGGCTTCCCCTTCCCCCACCCCCCAGAAGAGACATGTGTAGAAGGATGATGCCGTTTGGGTGCAACCACTGCCAGGGAAAATCACGCAGAGAAAACCACAAAGAAACCAGTGATGTTGTTGGGGTCACCTCTTTTGAGCCGGCAAAATTGAACATCCAACTCCTTGTGGCAGCCCTTAAGGGAAGTGGGCGGTTTAGCTTTCACCCACACCCTAAAAAGCAGCAGCCAAGGAAGAAGGATGCAACCACAATATCTTAAAGGCGGTGGAGGTGGCAAAAGTCCAGAATATCCAAAATTGGCCCTGGACATGTTAGGCTCCAAAAAAACGTGTCCACAACACAGGGTTCCTCAAAGGATACATCTGAAGACCACCAGCTTTTCAAGGGTTCCTCTACATGGGTGTGGGTCAAAATTAAACCAACAGGGGACCGCAGATTTTGGTCCATGTTTCCACTTGCCAGGGCAAGCCATTTTGGTACCGGTTTTTTGACCCACATCCACATCAGCGTCTCCAGGTGATTGTTCAGAGTGAAGTTCACTTGACCCAAATGTATCCGAATCCCACCCGCTAGCATCATCCGCTCAGGCCTAAGTGCCTGTGCTGTGAGGAAGTCCGCCAGCTGCTGCGGCTGAGAGCGCACCTACCGGGAAAAACAAAAAAAAAAGCATATGGGTGTTGATGGTTGGCTTCCTTTTAAGGCCTTCCTTGCATACCAACGAAAAGGGATCCAGCATTTTGAGAAACTCCCCCATGCCAGAACATGGAACCCCCAAAGCCATATTGTGTGAAAATGTATGTATACATCTGGATTCGGAACCTCCTAGGGCCTTTTAGGTTCCTTCCGTTCATTTGTGCAGTGGGGCAGGGTGTTTGGACTAGGGGACGTTTGAACCTAGTTTCGAGTCATGGCTTACAGGTGTGGAACTTGGGCTGCGCCCAATTCGGGCTCAGAGCGAAGGTGAGCATCCCTGGCAGTCGTGAAGTTGGTGTCTTCACAATGAAACACGTCGAAATCCAAGGTCCGACGTAGGCCTGCCAAATCCTGGGAACTAAACCACTATCCTTGTGGTTGATGGAATTTCTGCTTGGCAACTGTATGTGAACACCTTTCACTCTGAAAGGGTCAAGTGAGCCCCAGGTAAAGATGCAACGGCTGGATTGTCAGCATGCGCCGCAGGCTCGGCTTAATCTGTGGTTAAACACGTGGCCCATCCGAAACCAGATCTGTACCGGAGAGTCCCCTCTAGGGGACCTCGGCAACTCTCCAGAGGTGGGACGACCACCTAAGGGACGACCACCTAAGCAAACCTTGCTTTGACCTATCGAATGTGTCTGAAGCACTTGATGGATTCTCAAGCCTAATTCTTTGCGAGAACTGCTCATAACACAAGAGACAAAGGGAATCCTAGCGCAACAAAGAAAGGCTCGGCAGAAATCATTGTGAGCGTTTGTGCAGTGTTTGATGTTTTTCTTGTGTTTCCCGCCTTCGTTTGCCAGGCTCGGGACAAGCATGGTTGCTTGAAACACCCGGATGGAAAGGGCAAGGTTTCAACCATTGCGGGCTTTCTCTTGTTTGGAACGAGTTGCTGACCCAACCTTGACAGCCGCGGCATCCTCCAAGTGACTTGTCCTGCCCAACTCCTTGTTGAATCCATACTTGGAGTCGAGCACTGCCAAAAACATGAAGAATCTAGCTTCATTCATGTTTGGACACCAGTGCAAACAATTGTTTCACAACTTGCCCCAGACCTCACCAGGCGCAAGTTACGCCAAACTTGCACACTCGGCTGAGCCCCGAACCTCCTCAGGGATGTGCTTGTTAAGCAGGAACATGGCGACCTTGCCGTCCGCTCCAGGACACGACACCATATTGTGCAATTTCCGAATGCCCCTCCTGGCTTGCCCGACACGACGACAAACTAAGTCAATGCAAAAGGACATATCAATATGCAAAATTCACACATGTATATATATATATGTGTAATGTGGCATTCCAAAACAAGTTTTTTGTGTTTGTGTTTGTTTTTGTTTGTTGTTGTTTTGTGTTTTTTTGGGGGGTGGGGGGTAGCATATCTATATATATATATATACTTGCTAAATTTCACCTCCTGCCTGGGATCCCAGCCAAGATTGAAAGCCCGGAATCGTGGCCTCTCGACCGTCCTTTGACGCATCCCACTTGCGGTTTCCTGGAAATGAATGCGGACAAGCAAAGACAGTCAAGTTTGTACTGAATGCCACGCCAGCAACGCCAGGGCAGCCTACCGTTTTCGCGCTGCAGCCAACCGAGCTACCGCATCCTTCCTAACATGCATATGCACATGCTCATTCAAACGGCATGCATGTGCATATGTATATATAATTAAATCACGCATCCATACACATTGATACCACCAACTGTCTAAACCACATGTCTAACTGTCAAACTGCACCACATTCATACCACGTTCATACCACATTCATCCACCTTCAAATGCACAAACTGTCTAAACCACATGGCCTCCCCAGAGCACTTCCCTTCCTCTGCGCGGATCTTGGGGGGGCGTTACCAACCCCATGTCTTTCCCATCTGGATAAAAATGGTCGGTTTCGCGGCCGCTGGTTTTCAGCATCATCCACTTTGACTGCGTGGCCCGGCATGGCACGGACCTTGGCCCAGGTCTTTCGTGACCTATCCCCGCCTCGTCGGAGAAATGGTTGCAGTTGTGCTGCAAGACCTCGGCACCGGCAACCGCCGCCGCGTGGGCACGCCGACTCAGCCAGAACTTAGAATGTGGTAGGTATGTGTATGGATGTAAATCTTATATTGTGTAAATCAAAAAATCTAGAAATCATATATATAGATACATATGTGTATAGATATAAATCATATATTATATACATCATATATTCTAGAAATCATTTAAACAATGCATACGCATCTTTGTGGGGTTTTGCTAAATGGTGGATCCCTTGTTGGGCAGGTTTGAAGGGAAAGCCCAAAGGAAACAACATGTTCGGATTCCCTATTTTGACACTGCCCATACTCATGCATTGCAGAAGTATGTTCGGCCATCATCAGGGTTGGTCGAAAGTCTAGATGTAAGATGCTACCGTGAGAGCTTGCCGGCTTTGTCCCCTTGACGTCGGACAACTGCTACAGAATTGGTGGAGGACATAAAGTTGTGTGCCTGCATGCAATTCGAGGGACGGACAAAGCATCATTCGAATTAAGAGTGGTGAAAGAACATATCCCCTTTCCATATGATTTCTCAATGCGGGGCAACTTCTTTATCTTGCCCACCGGCTGCCTTCAAAGCAGAAATTGGCGAAGGGCTTGGCTCCTGGACTGGAATGTTTGCCTCCATTTTGCTCCCTGCACGGAAGACTATACAAATGCCGGAGGGGCATTTGTAAAACAAAAACAAAAAAAGGTTGCAGCAGCTACTTCGGGAGCCATGAGAAGCTCAGGGCCTAGTCACTAGGTTGTGACTCGGAAGCCATAGGAATCCGTATAACCAGAAGGACTAACGCCCCCGGCATCGTAGGCTTCGCGGGTGTACTCTCTGCACAGCTCCTGGTGGCCAAGATCGGCCCCTCATGGCTTTAATGTGAGCAGTGTGCGCCTCGCGTAAGTCATGCAAGCCCCAGTGCCAATTCTCGAGAATGGAAGCGGTGCAGTTTTCTTTGGTCAGAGACCAGTGCCGTGTCTCAAGACTAGAAACCATAATGCGACACCCATGCGTGGACTCTCAAATCGATGGCATAAGTAAAGACCTGACTGACCAGCAAACACACGACTGGTAGCTTCCAGGAAGCGATAACTTTGCTTGAAGAGCTGGCCATTGAGAAGGCCTTCCAGAAAGTGAAGGCCATACAAGTCACTACTCCTAAGCCAAAAGGATCCATCTTCAGGAACCATAGGCCCAGAACCTTCAAGATTTTCTCCATCGACTCAGTTGAACATCGTGTGTCATCCCTACCCATCCCTTCCCCGAAGCCGCCCCCACTGCACGCCATCCCTTTCTCGTCGCCCACCGTGTGTGTGTGTGGCCCGTACAGGCCCCCGGCGCCGAGGAAAATGCCCTGCATCGGAGAACTCCCCGCTCAACGGGGTCTCCAGTAAGAACCATGTCCACCCCAATCATGTGCCCCGCCACCTGGTGGTTTTGTGACCCTAGTTGAAGTCCTCTTGATATGGTAAAAATATGTACATATATATATATATACATATAATTAGCTGCAAATAATTACTAGCTAAACGAATCTCTTTGAACTTTCCTCAACATCTCCCCAACCCATGGCGCCGACCCTGGGCCACTTGCCTTGGGCTGGGCTATGCCCCACGCCCCGGCCATTTCCACAAACTCGTTGGAACCGGTTGATAATGTTGACCCAGGATGAATAAACCCGTCCCACTATTAGGGGGGTGTTGCCTCCAAAAGTGATGAATCCCCACTAAACGGGGACACCCCCTATTATCCCCTATTAATCAACCAGGGGTTTATTAATCCGGGCTTAACAGAAAGGGACACGTTATGCCCACTGGCTCTCATTGGCAAACAAAGTTGAGTTGCTGCAAAGTCGGAAAAGTGACAAGCACAAAAGCACAGTTAACAGGTTGAACATCCTCACAATTCAACCGCCTAAGATTGCCTGTGTTAAAGACATGTCATGAATGATTACGCAACGCTCCTAATTGAGTCAGGTTGATGCCTCAACAAGCCAAGCAATCGAAGGATTTCGCGGCTGAGCAACTTCTACTGAACGGGGTCGTCTATACGGGAGCCGCGCGAGTCCAAAAACGCGAGCAGGTCTCAGATCACTTCGTGACAGAGGCACCCGCCCTCGTGTCAAGCATCGCTTGGACCATGGCTGCAACCATGCCGTGAACCCTGTCAGCCTGGCTTGTTGGAACATTCAGGATTGTGGCTCGCGGAAGCCAGCCAGCGATAAGATTCGTGAAGTGCAACAATAGTACACAGAGCTGAAAAGG